TTTCATAGCTTCGTGAATAAAAATCCAACAATTTACCTAATTCATCAAAAAATAGATGCCATTTTGGTTTGGAGGGTGATAGATTCCAATAATTATCCATTTTTGTTTTTTAAAATTTACTTCAACAGAAAAAGTTTCAATATCATTTGCTGGGTTGAGATTTCTTAATTCTTTAGCTAGAATGTTTTCATTCACATAAAGTATTAATCCTCCAGCTCCAATTTTTTGTCGCGTCTAAAGGGCTTCCTAAACCCCGCAGCAGAATACTGAGTCGGAAAATATTCGTCTATCTTTGTTTCTGAGATAAGAAAAATATCTAATTTTCCTTTTATTAGTTCCATAATACTAAAATGTTTGTTAGGAAGACAATTTATGTTAAGGTACCCTACAATTGTCTTTTTAGGGTTTTTTACTCTTATTGAACTGAAATTAGTTACTTCATTTAAAGCGCTATCTATTACATCGACAGAGCTCTGTTTGTTTTTAATTTCATCATGCTCTCCTTGCTCCTTGGGTTATCAATGAATGATTAGCTTTTTGACTATAAGGGCATGAAGGCTCAATCATGGTTAAACTGTGCATTATCTTACCCACTTTTCATGTTTACTGCAGATGATTAATTATGTTTCTCGCAAGAAGTATGTTCTCTTGTCTATTTAGATGGAGTCTGCTACCGTTCAAGCTATCAATACTGATGTTATTGTTGTTTATATAATCCTGTTTATATTATCGGCATAGCTTGTAGTCCTTGTTCACTTAATCATTATCTCCTCTCATTATGATAGAACTGATGCTTATACGTGTACACTGACTGTTTTATTGAATTTCGTTGATGATTTTCCGGTAGTTGTCTATTGTTTTAGATTTTGATGCAATATCGTTAGTGCCAAAATGTACTATGATTTCATCAGAGTTTCTTGTAAAGATAGATTTAACATAGTGTATAGCATCTTCGGATGTCGCTCCAGCCGTCAAGCGGGTCTTTATAGATTCATTCTTGACATTCTATGGCCTTCTAGGTTTTTAATCATAGAGTCACCTATTATGTAAACCAGCTGTTTTCTTTTCTGTGAGATTGCAGTGTCTTTCGTGCTTGATACAGTATGAGATTGGATGCTGTGTTGTTCCGGGTTGAATAAGGTTTTATTTTGATATGAGATATGGATAGGATTGACTTGCTGTTGTGATTTTGCTAAGGATTGCAGATGATTTGAGTTTGTTATAGATTTATAGAATATTGAATAGAATGGTTCAGAGTATGATTGTGGGGAAGGCTTTTTTATGTGGATTGGGCAATTTGTTTGTGTTACCTAATGTTTGAGAATGTATTTTGGTGTAATCCGTGATTGTTGAAGGGGCTTGTCGAGTTTTGGTTTGCATTTGTGGATTTTATTTATATTGAGATGGAAAATGAATGGGTGCCTGTGATGTAGTTCTTCTTATAGTTAAGTCCTTTCCATATTGATATATTCCTAAACATAAAGTAGATACAGTTTTCAAATGCAACAGCTAACTCACGAGGATAGAGAGAGCTACAACTCACAAATGAAACAATCGAAGCCTTAATGAATCTCCAGTAATTTAAATGCACGACAAGCAATGGGCACGTCGTCTTAAAAAATACACTTAATGCGCATATGAGAACTCACGCGCTGGTATATCTACCAATTCTTGCCAGGTAGGAATCTAAGCAGTAGCGCTAAATATACTAAAGCCCTCGACGCAGTTTTTGCGACGTACATTGGTACGGGTAAAGTGGTTTTACTTACGTTAACGATATATGAGACTTAAAGGGTTTGATAAATAATAATACAATAGAATTTGTTTATATAACTTATACTCATATAAATGAGAAACAAGGAGGCTGAATATGAATTTATTCAGGGACGAAAACAAGTTGCTAATTTTGGGGGGGCGTGGAAGTATGAAAATTCCAACTTCAAGTGATAAATTTTTCATTCGACCAGTAGATCTGTTGTACCTACCAAATTGATATTTGTAAATAGCCCGAGCACCATAGTTCTATTTTCTTTATAATTACCAAATCTTTACTCAATAATTAGCCTAAAGCATAAAAGCCTAAATCTCTAAATTTTGATTAACATGAAACAAACATTAAACATACTGTAAGAAGTAAAGCAACATTTAAGCAAAACCAGTATTAGATATACTTAATGATTAGTAGTATTCTTTCAGATCAATTGATCAATTTTATTTAAATACATTTTTTCACGATATAGAAGCACCAAGAATTTGGGCCTTTTATTTTCGTTCTTGATCGAAGAAAACTACCTTTAAACTTTTCAGAGGGCCAAATGCCTTTTCATTCTTTACAATTGAAATGATGATTTGAGAACAAACTTGTGCATATGCCTGATTCGAAAGATGAAATACTCTTCTTTAATCAAATACTTCTACTGCAGTTTTTGCAATGTGTTCTTGCTCCACAGCAGTTTTGTCATAGGAATTTATGATAAGGACTCAAGGACATTAACAAATAACAGGGGAGTTTAGCATAAACTCGTTTTTTATAAGAAGCGTTGAGAATTTTTAGTACTGAAAGATTCTTAATCTTTTATTGAATTAACTACTCATAGTTTATAAAAAAATTCCCACTCTAATATATTCTGATCAATGCGGGTATTATTATTCCAAACTGTAAGTTTCAAGTTTCTTATCCGTAAGTTCACCTTGCCTGTTCGTAATTTGATTCAACTCCCGTCAGAAAGAAAGAAAAAGAAAACGGGGCAAGTGTGCAATTTGGACCCAGAGGAGACGGGATTCACAATAGAAAACGATTGGATGGGTCAGCTTCAGCCTGTGAATTTTAATGTTTAGAATTTTTATATTTAAAATAAAAAAACTTCTTAAAATATAAAATTCACAAGTTTTGTCTTAAGAAAAAAATTCCAAGTCAACCGTTACGTTTTCCAACTGTAACTGGATTTTCCAAACTTTGGGGGGGCGTTACGCCCCCCACGCCCCCCTATTATTTACGTGCCTGAATTTATTATTTCAAACTATATGTTGCTAACAATTCAAACCTATTTAAGGTGTTAAACACTAACAAAATTACAAGCAGTGTTTACCTGCACAAGGAAAGTCCATAAGGAAATGAAGAGAGTATAAACTGTTTGCCTTGACGAATAAATCTATTTCTGCTTTCAATCCGTTTTTTAGGGCAACACTATTCAATAAATATTACATTGATGACACGTGACTGATTTAGCATTTGGTGATCAATTTTCCAGAATCGTCGACATAGCCAGTCACCGACTTGAAGCGCGCTGAGAAACGACATCGTTGTTGAGCGCAACCATCTGCATACCTCGAACAGTTTGCTGTCGTGAAACATGCACAAATATGTTTCCTCTTTGACGGCTTTGAGTAAGATTTCCATCACTGGCACAGGAGAAAATTGCATGGAACAAGGATCTTCTTGCCGCGCCGATCCTCTCCAAAACAGGACGAAAGTCGCGATGCCGCGCTCCATAGATGAAAACGTTTACAGCGGCATTCGAAGTTTGAAAGAGATACAGTACTGTATTAACACTGCGAAGCCACGCGAAAACTTGCGCGTTGACGCTTGCTCCGTCCACTTGCAAAGCAATGTAAAAGCAAAGTTGAAAAGCATCGAGCGGAATCGTGCAGACGCTGAAAACAACCAGCATTAAACGCAGCATTCGACGCGTGCTGTTTACATGATCAAGTCTACTGGCCATTTTCGTGCCCATGTAGCCATGTTTTGCCAGATTGTTTGAATTTGTGACTAGTGCCGTGCCTATCTTGCGTCCTGTGATCCCTATAATCGTTGTCGACACGATGTCGCGAATGAACATGGTAAAAGCGTAGGACAACGTATAGAGGTTTTTGTGGCCTACTGGATTACACATTTGCTTTGACGAACCTTCGACTGAATGAAGCTCCAATGCGTGAAATTTAGGCCCGGCTAGCAGAGTCCCAAGGAACACAAATGAGATCACGCACACGATCGTACGCGATTTCGTAATGCCGTTTCGAGCAAATGGTTTCGAAATTACGCGATATCTATCGACAGACATGAGCATTAGAATACATTGCGAAATAGTTACATTGATAGGCAAAACTGACAGCAGAACTTTGCATCCTACCATTCCGAAATCCCATCTTTGGAAATTTGTAAGTGTTCCGTATGCGAACATCGCAGGCACAACAATGACACAAACAAGGTCACTTACGCTGAGTGATATCAGCATTAGGTCGTACGCCGTCGCGGGCCCTTTCTTTACGAACCTAAGAATGGCGATAGTAAACAAGTTGCCGCAAACACCGATCACAAAGAGGAGAAACATGCAAACTAAAGCGAATATATCGAGCGGAGCCGTCGCATTGCCGCTATTCCTGGCGAAAGTCAATGTCGTATTGGTCATTGTTGTTGGCGAAACAAACATTGCGGTTGTCGACGTCAAGCTAGCAAAGGTAGTGCTTGTATCATTCATGTTTCGACCTTCTTATTTTCTATATCAAGGCCACAATGCCGTCGTCGATATTACGAATTCGAGGTCATCCGTCCATCATGTTACGGCATCGAAAGGTGCTCGAAAAGTAAACATGTAAAAAGAAGTCAGTACCTTGCATATGCTCAAAGATCCTCCTTCTTGTCTGTGGGTGGTTCAATTATTGCACCTAGGGGTTAGAATTGGAATGATTTTTAAATGTATTTGATTTGTGATAGGTATTTAAGGGTGAACAGGTTCTAGAATGGTATTCACATGCTATCGGTAGTTTTCTTGTGGACAATTACCAAAACGCTTTTAGGCTAATATTCACCCATTTTTTAGCAGAGAGGCTGCTTACAATCGCTTCATAATTGCCTGCCCCTTTCGTTCCTATTGCTAGTGATTTTAGTCTCATTGATAAAAGTTCTATACATTATCCAAAAGGATAATCGAATAACACAACTGCAAGAGAATCTCTCAAAGCATGAAAAAATTTGCCAAGGGGATTTTTCTCTTTTTATAAAGACCAGTAAACTTTTGATTAAGGTAGGCCGATCTCAATTTTCCAAGAACTTTGTGTCTGCACTGTTCTTTTGTTCTTGGGGTGTAAGCTAGAGAACTTCAGATGTAAGAAAAATTTCTTACTGCAGGCAACATTGTAATAGATGTTAAAAATAAAACAGATATTGCTTTAGAGTCAAACAAAAACTTGCCGTGTGCTATGTTTTCGTTATTTCGTTCCATCTTCAGACGTTCCTTTTCACAACATTAACAACAGATAAATCCGGTCATAAAAGATTTTTAGCTTCTTAGCGACATTTGAATCAAGGTTAAGAAAATATCAGTTTCTTATCAGTTGCATTTCAACATTGTCAATCTCTTGAACAGAAATTCGGTCCTCTGTGCCACCTGAATTGTTTCTAGACATTTCATTATTTCTTTAGATCAATACGAAGGCTGTTACTGAGTTTTCTAAATTTCTGTGTTCTTTTTCTGCAGTATCTTGTAAATGGGTTTTTGTCATAAAACGTGTGCCTCAGCCCCAGTTTGTTTTGAGCTCGTTTCTTGTTTTGACTTGTTTTGAGGCTTGAGGCTCTTACGAGTTCCCTTAAAAAAGGGTTCTTTCTTTGAAGTGATTAATTTTTTTTAACATACCAACTAGTGGGTCTCTTCAACATACATCCAGCCCCAGTGTCCTTCCATTACTTTTAACAATAGGTTATTGTCCTTCTTTTCATATAAACAGAGACTTACCCCCCCCCCTCCCCCTCCCCTTCTCTCAGCTCATTTCTCTTCGAAAAATTAATGAGGTAATAAGGTGGGTAAGCAACAAACTGGAACAGCTCGATCTCCAAAATTATACTAACAAGACTAAAATTTAAGATCTAGCAAAGACACAGTAAAAACGAATCACAAAGCTGTAGTTGTATTTCCTTCCAGTTTGGAATTTGCACATTCATGAATTCTTCTAAAAAAATATCTTTCTCACAAACAATATACTCAGCTTTATCAAAGTTACCTGTTTAAATTAATGTGCTTATCAATCTCTTGCATTCCATCAGCCGTGAGTTTTTAAAATGTCATCATTCTTGAGCAGCAGAGTTTGATCAAGTCATATGTAGTAGCAGTTTTTGAGCAAATCAATATCATGGTAAATGATCACCTTCAGCAAGATGTCGCTCACTGTTTCATCCTTGAATCGCTGCAATCGCGTCTTATATAGCATCACCATCACCTCGGCTTGCTCCTTCTTAAACATGTTATTTCTAGAAATGCATCGGTTTTCATTAAAGTCTTCGTTAACAGCCGGGTTGCATGAAATCAAAGCCACATTGTCACGATAATGTCAAAGCAAAATTTGATACATTATCTTCTAAAATTATTTTTTTAATTATCTGTACACTTCAAAATTGCATAACGGTGGCAACATAAATATCAAGATGATTTGTAATTTTAATACAAACGATGACCACGAAACTCACTCAAAACCTTGCTGATAAGAAAAATTGTTTTATAGAGATCAGAGAAAGGCCGGTTTTAATGAAATCTAAGAAATGATTAATTCTCAAGGCTTAAAGCAGTTCTTTTTGCTTCCACAAGGATTAGAAGAAATAGTTTATTTTTGATAACAAAATGCTAATTTTAAGCTTTCTTCAACAACCAAAGATAATTTTTATCTTCAAGTAAAATCGATTTCCCATCAACTTGATCACTGACCTAGCCATTCGGTTAACTTGCATGAAATATACAGCATTTCTTGCAAGGAAAAATTCTAAAACCATAAAGAGTGTTGACAAAGCTTTGAGGTTCTTAGCTCGAGCAACCTGCTTACATTCAGGAGTGCATTGTTAAACGATACAATGCCCAATAAACGTCCTATCCTAACGCATCAAATGTCAAGAAATGGTTGCTTTTTAACTTGTATTGAGTATCGTACACCATACGAGGGACCATTCATTATCCAGGGCTGACAAGCAAAGACCTAGAAAGCATTTTAAAATTGAGTTAGGGCACGTGTAGGCACAAAGGGGCCACATCCGTGATTCGCAAATAGGTTCTTTGCTTCTGTTTCTGAAAACCGGGAGCAGGAGCCCCCTTGTGCCTCCGTTCCCTACGTCTTTGCTCATAAATGGTCGATAGTTCTTGGTGTTTTTGTGACATCACGCTTTAGCACATTAAAGATACTCATTTCTTTGAATCTGGTAGGCGGGTGTAATAAGTGAATGTCTTCTCAGGCACATCTTCCTGGTGTTGTCTTGAACATACGAGCTTTGATTAAGTTATTTTATTTTGTCTAGTTTCGAACCGTCTCCCTTTTCTGGTTTCGAAACTTTTTAAATTTTCGAAACATGAAGGATAGGCGGGCAGTGACAATAGAGTTTTAAAATGTGACGTCTTAAACATATATTTTTAGAGCTTTTCAATTTGAATCATAAATCCTGATAGAAAACCACGAATTACCTCTAAACATACAAAATCAGTCTAATATGTTTCAAATTGGGTGAGGTATGTCCAACGAACGATTTTAATATTTTGGAAGGTCGCTACAGACAGTGCCGTCGGAATGAAATTCATATTGGGGGGGGGGGGGCTGTCCGTTGTTTTCCATCTCATTCAGTGCACTGTTATAAAGAAAACATACTACAGTTTGACAATTATTTGGGGGCTCCAGCCCCCAAAGCCCCCCGGTTCCGACGGGCCTGACAGATTTCTGCTGATTTGGCATGGTTCATCAATTTTAGAACAGCTCTAGGTCTGATGACTTCTCTACTTGGTTTATAAATGTAGTAAGGCCTTCAATTCGGTTCTTAATGAACTGAAACATACTTAGACACCTTGACAGTTTAAGTCAAGATAAAGACTTTAGCTGCGATTAGTTGTACCTCTAATCTATGGAGGCAAGTCGGGTCACTTGGAGGGACAAGGGCGGCCAAATGCGCCCATGCCCGGTCCCGGTCGAATTAGACCCCTAGGGCCTTTTTTTCATATTTCTAGATGAGGGGGGAAGGGCAATTTGAGGATTTACGGTATGTGTAAATGAATTTACTTTATGTGACGTAAATTGCTCTATACCCTATAAGTAAAAGTTGAAATCAATCAGATTAGAACCCAGATTCAATGTAACCCAAATTTCGTTTTATCTAGATTTTTCACTTCTCGACAACCAAAAACCTTATTGCATAAGCCGTAACCGACCGGAAACTGTAATGAAAACGAAACTAAAATACTTACCAATTCTCCGACGACGGTTTTGTAAATATGACAATTATATTCCTTCAAAGACATCCCTTGCTACGAACACGTGGACATTAACTGCAAACGCTCTTTTCACATTGAGTCTTTTTGCACACTCTCTATAAACACAAAGTTAATGGGCACTGGCCAAGATGATTATTGCCCGAAGGAAGATTCAGGCAGTTTCCAATTCTTGATTGAGGAATTCAATGCCTCGTTTATTTAAAAGAATAGCCTGCTTTACATGCGAGAGCGCGGAATTCATTTATCTTGTCAATTTGGATCTTACCCATGCCATTGACGATGGTGCCATCTTAAAACCCCAAGGGTACGCGAAGCGGCAAACATGAGAGCGAATTATAGTCGATAAATACTGCGCGGGTTCACAATGGGAAAGGTCGCTAGATTGATTAATGCCAGCAGGCAAGACATGTGACCAGTTTATGCTAAAACGTAAAGAATTCGTTCAAATTGAATTTTTAACAAATGGAATACAAATGCTCACAGGGGGCTGTTTCATTTGGAAAAATAAGCTGGTGACTTCACAATTACGGTACAAAGTTATTCGGACGTATGATCAAAAACAGCCGACATGGCAACGAAACAGCCAAGAGCATTCAAATATATGACTTGATCAAACCAATTCAACTCATGTCAGAAGCTTATGACATGATGGTACGGAATGAAAACTTGGATGGACTGATTTTCGTCTTTGAAAAAATGTGAGTCAGCATAGTTTTGAATCGAATTTCGTCCATATCAGTAGAAAAAAAACAGAAAAAGAGCACGGTTTCCAGAACTCTTAAATGGAACATTTGATTTTAGAAAGAAATATGGTATTTTCTATGCATTGTTAGCATTAGCAAAGTACGACTTAATTAATAAATGTTTTTTATTAATTCTTATTAATTGAATGGCCTATAAGTTGAGTGGGTTTGAGTTCTTTCTTACATACTTAGATGCTAAGAGGGACAACCGTAATGAATTAAGGCACAGAGAAGCATGTCGCATACCTGAAACATGTTGTCATCATAGTTTTTGCCACAATCAGGGTTGTCTAAATGATGTTGTCCGATGGCAGAATCAATTGTTTCAACAGGGTTTTTTGACCTTCAAGATCGAGGAGGCTGTTCTCTTTAAGTTTTGTTTTGTTTCGTATGTTTGAAGGTAACGATTTTTGGTGGTAGGAACGCAATCCTTTTGAATGGATGGAAGGGCTCTCCTAGTGCTGTAAACAATACGAGGATTGATAGAAAAGAAGCATTTTGTGATGGCTTGTTTATTCCACAAGGAACTCGGACTTTCAAACCGCAAGAAAGTGTTACAAATCCATGGTAGTTTAAAAAGTTTCGTTAAAAATGTTCGTTAAAAAAATGTGATTTGGTTTAACTAAACAGCAGTTTACAACAGCACTGGCAAGCAAAGAGCAGACAGGAATAGTTGAAAATATTATATATAAACTAGTTTTAGGAATAAGGGAAAAATTTATCAAACTGCGAAGAGATATATACTCATTGGGCAGTTGCATGGCTGCATTCCATTGAAAAGACGCAATTAGATTAATTCTAAAAAATTAGAAATACCAAGCCCAGGGGCCACTCCCAGCTAAAACACGCATGACGCATAAATAGGGGCTCGTCTTGACTTCAATTTCTTTAGTGGGTGCTTCAAGTTTGCCTTTATGGGAAGAAGGAAGATTAACACACTTCTAGAGTTGTCTAGAAACAAAAGAATAGATAACAACGAATAAAAAATCATGGAAGGTATGATTAACAATGTGACCAAAATACAACATATAACTTTAAATAACAGATAAAAGCAAGAAAAATTGTAATTAGAAATCAGGCTTAAGTATCAAGACTTGAAAGCACTACGAAATTAAAAAACCTATGGCCTAAATGACTGAGCATGAAACTTAGTGATAAATGATCAATTCAATGAACAGAATGTTTTTCAAAATACCGAAAGTATTCAACATTATACATCTCCTAGTTTAAGGCCTTTATTTACATAGTCTGCAGTGCAGTTCCAAACACATCGGCTTATGAATGGATGCTTCTAGATGCTTATCAGTTCTAAGAAATCTTCCTACTTCCGGGAAGCTAAAAACGGTCATCGCGATTTATTTACATGTGCGAAACAACACATGCATTGACTTCTACTACTTAATCGTTCATTTTTGTACTATACATGCATGTTTTTGAATTATCTAAATTAAAGCCTGCAACAGCATTGCACAGTTGATAAAAATTTCTTGAGAAAATTTCATCTCATGCCACCGACACAGGGGAATTGTAAATTCGATATGAAATAATTTCTATTTGGCAGCTAAAGGTAAAAAAGTTTAAAGACATTGCAATAATCAACGCTAAGCTATTCAAACATTGCAACAATGTCAACTATAAAAGAAAAACGAAATTAATATTCTTCTTCCTCGCTTGATGCAATTAAAGATTGCATCATCAACTTTCTTTTCAACAACTCTCTGAATCTTGCTTCGAAAAACTTCGTTATCAAGATAAAACCTGATCCATGCTAGAAATGTATCCACCCCTTCAATTAAATAACATAAGTTACACCTATCTCCCTTATTATCAACAATTAGATTTCTTTCTCTTTTCTCTCATTCTTCAGTTATCAACTCCCAACCCTTCTCTTGCGCAAATCCTTGTCTCTAGTTCCTCTCTGACTTACCAATCCCACATTAAACTATCATTGAACTTCTCCATAATCTTTTCTCCGTATCTGATCAACACCAATTCCTTTTTTGGTCTCTCAACTGCCATTTTTTTCTTTTCATGTCAAACTGACGGCAACTTTACACAAAACAAGCGAATATCTTACAACTATTCCAAACATGTCCCTAAATCCATCACGATTCTATCAAATCTTCTCATTGTCCCCGTGCCCTGAATCAGAAACAATGTTTTTAAAAACAGTCATTGTTGAGAATATAGTTGGTTGACTAATCATATTGAATTCACACAGGTTTACCAGATGCAGTAGCAAATTTCTCGCCAGTTTTTTCTCCATTATCTCACGAGCATGCTCTTCGACGAACGATTTACACGCAAGCGGCAGTTGAAAATCCGATATATAACTAGGGAGGAAGTGAGAAACACGTCACAAAATGGATGTAATTTTCATATTATTTACAAATGAGGCTGAGAAAGGGATTTACAAACAGGAATGAAATTACTTTCTTTATAACTATAGTTCTATTACAAAAACATTTTTAAAAGTGTCAGAAAAGTGCAATTCAGGCAAGGTGCGAAAAGGAATCAATGGGGGCCACAGGCTACAAATCTATGCATCCTGGCATAACAAAAGTGTCATTCACAGTGAGGAGCATGGCCAGCTCTCTGTAATTCCAGATGTAGGAATTACGAGGTGCGGTGACAAGACCGGGACACTTCTCGACAAGCATAGCATTTCAGTGTTCTAAAAACCTTCCAACGCAAGGTAGAAAGAAGAAAATACAGTATATGTATCTGTTTTTCCAAACACAACATAAAAACATAAGTAATGAATGATAATATGAAAAATAAGAAAAACCCACCATCCTTTCATTATGTGACTATTCCACATTTTCATTAGTTCTTTCTCACCCTCATTTACATCAGTAAATTCGTCAATCATCTTTGGAAAAAAATACAAAAATTACCAAAGAATGGATTAACATGACAAATGATGTTCCTCTACATAAACTGGAAAAAGACAAAGAGACCAGCTTCTCAATGGTTCGAGCACTCATGAGGACCGCAGCTCGTGAAAAATGAACGATTTGATAAATAGAAACATTTCATAAAACTTCCGATCAACGTTTCGTTGTTAAAAATTTCAATTCAACTCAGTTTCAATTTAGCATCAATTTAGTCCAAATTCGAAGAATGACTCAGTTAAATTGAGCGATCAACACGTCGTAGCCAACCAGGAGGATTTGATATATTTTGCAGCACCAATCGGTTAACAAAAAAATGAAAACGCAAATTACTACACATCCCACAAACCAAAAATAACTTATTAAGTTCTTGGCATCCAAAAGCAAAAACTAACAACTAGAAAGTGGTAGATAAGCTTGCTGATAGAAATCGATTTCAAACTTGCAACTTGAGAAATGTCGTCTATGACGTCATTGACAATAAAAGTAAACAAAAGAGAAGACAATGCAATGTCTCATACGTATTCCATCTGGGATTTCAGCCAATCAGGCGTCGCATCATGTTCACTGTTATAATCTATTTCCGATGTTTTCATCGGAATGCAACCATCTGAATGGTAGTAAACTCTAAAATTGAAGATCATTAAAATCAATTAACAGCTGATTTCTGATTCATTTCACTCACTAGTTCACTTATGCAAATATTCACTACGTAACTAAATTACTTAGCTAATTCATTCTTTCATGCATATGATTATTCCATCTTTTGCTCTTTCATCCAACTAGTCATCGATTCTTTCTTTATATAAAGTTATGGTTTATTCATTTAATGAATATTCTTCCTTTTTTTCCTTTTATCTAATTCAGTCTTCAACGTTTTGCATTTTATCAGAGGATACTTGCATTTGATTGCGTTAAATACAAAATCATGTCAAAGATTATATTACGAGCGAATCGTTGAAAGGCTTATGTTTAATAATAACAGGATTCGAGAGTGTATCCAGAATCTAGTTAAATTACAAGGCACACACAAGAATAAACATTTACTTTTTCATGTAATCTGTTAACACTTAGACATTTTAAAGATGGAAAAAAACACCCAAATAAAAGCCATCAAAATTTGTGAGAAATCAATTTAATCACATGCACCCAGTATCACAATCGGTGAATGAGTTTCATCATCAAATGATCAAATGATTGTGTGTCTATCATAAAAGCTTTTCGAAAATCAGTTCCCAGCCGACATAAGAGTGACCACGAGCCACTCATGTACACTGGTGCTTAAAAAGCTCCCATATATATAAGTCATATTGTAACTAAACATAAACAACTGGAGCTGTTACCTATCATGTCCTTTAAAAAACGGTTTTACTCCATCTATATCAGTGCAGTCAGGCTCTGTGAATTCCTGTAGATCTTCCGCATCTTTGTGTGGCCTGAAAACAAAATGAGGTCATTTTAGCACAAGGAAACAAAGCTCAAAGACCTATTTACGAGTGTCTCTGTGTAACAAACTCTACCACACAAAAATTGGACATACATCAAATCTTCAAGCAAAACCACAACTCAGGCCTTGATATGATTTCATGATGTCATCAAAGAGGGTCAAACATGCCTAAAAAGGTTGCATAGGGACATCATGTAGTGTTCCAAAACTCTGAAAACAGATTCTGTCCCTGGCAAAAGACAATTTTGCCAGGTAAAGGCATCTTTAGAAACCGATTGAATATCAATAAATGACATACCTCCATACTATACATTCGGTTACAGGCTGTTTCCTAGTTGGAAATCCACTGAGCCCTCCAGATGGAATTACTCTGTTTTTTCCACCAAATGAATACCCGTAATTTTCATTGATGCAAACGTCGATCCGAGCACCTTTCGATAACGACTAAAAGATTCAAAGAAGATAATTAGTGAAGTAAATAAACATTTGGTAACGCAACATCTGAAATAGTCCGGAGAAACGGATACATTCTGTCTGGAGAACTTTTCGCACGAGAGGCCTAGGGACCGATCAAACGAACTGTTCTTCTTCTCGTGTTACTTTTGATTTGCACAAAGATGCATGGATTTCCGCTTACCCTATTATCCGACTTCTATACTCTGTCGGGTGTCGGATGGAAAATACATCAGCACGACATGTTTCTGCTTTTCCCAGCAATTTCTAAATTAGTGAAGCAGAAATGGATGCTGGATTTTAACCTGAAATGAGCTGAGATTTTACCTCATTAGCACAGGCTCTTCCCCCCATCAAACCTCTTGCACTTTGGTCTCTGTGCACATAGTTATGAACAGAGCCAAAATAACAGTAAGCAAACTTCAAACCTTTCATTAACCATATCTCATCAGGTTTTAGACATATTTGACCGATCTTGCATAATTGGAAGTATTTCTTGGTGTTCTTTCAGATAATGTGATCGAAATTCAAAAATTCTAAAAATATATTTTTATAAAGCTACACTCAAGGCCTCTATAACATACTTGATAACTCAATGTCGAATAGGTTGCAAACAAAGTTGCCTGGCGATAAGAAAGCCATCTAAAAGTAATAGAGCTATAGGAGACAATTTCGTACCGTATACATAAAAATGAATCTGCTATGACAAGTTTTTAGATGCTTTAACAAACTATACAACTTCATGCAATCGAGGGAACACCATGGGCAGTAGTAATCATCCCGTGCCTCGGTCTGCTGCCTTGTGTTGTTGTTGTAGATAAATTGATAAAAAACTCGCTGCGAAGGAACGCTCAGCTGTTGTTGTTGTGGCTGCTGTTGCTCTTTTGATACAGACTCAGACGTTTCTTGGCCTTTCTTGCTTTTGTTTTGCTTTGAAAGCTTTTGAATTAGAGAAACTGATCTGGTTTGGAAAGGCGCGATAGGCTTGTCCTTCCAGGCTAGTTTGAACTTGATCGTTGGACCAAATGCGAACATTTCAAACGGTCCAAGCTGAAAACCAAGCAGATGATTATTACATAAAGTATCTTAAAGCATGTAGCCTTGATTAATGGACACAGTAACTTCATGATTTGGAAACATTCTAAAAGTAATTCGCCTTTAAAAAAACACAAGGTAGGGTAAACAAAGGGTATGCAATTCTAAACCATCGAAGCAACATTTCTAGATAATAACATTTCCCAATAGCTAAGAATGTTAATTTCAGACGCGCAGTCTCATATTTTCAGAGTAAACCTGTCCGCGCAGGAAACAAAGTTTCTAGTCTGGCCAGCGTTCGTTCTAAAAAGCCTTCCTTTTCAATGAGAAATTTGAAACATGCTCCTATTTCTGTTTAGCCCCCGATATTGTTTTGATGATTTCTCGCGTCATATCTCTGACATCCAATGGCATGTGCTTGAACCAATTCTGCTCTTAATATTCTGGTAGCCTTTGAGACCTGCAGTCATAAGAAATAAGTGTTCCTAGAACAACCGGTCAAAATTTAGTATCCTTTGTTCGATGTGGATATGAGAAATTCCCTTTAACGGTCAAGAAAATTGCAAAGAAAGAATGACAGCTTGATTGGCAAATGACTAAAATAATTTTGGTCTTAAATTCTTAAAAATCGTGGTGTTATATCTCAAACTGCTAAGGCATAATGTTTCTTTCTTGCCCCTCTCTGAATTCTCTCCCATATTCAAACCCCTCTAGAGTCTCTATAAATAAATAAAACCAGCCGTGTGTTAACTGCCCAATTAACAAAGCTTATATGGTTAATCAAACTGCTTTTGCTACGGCACTGGAGTCCTTAACGTCGTTTAGACCTCTCGTAAAATTCACCTTATTCCTGAATCCGTTTTCCCATGTTTTTCCCTTCTGTATGGTCTCGTCATCTCCATCTTGCATCCAGTAGTTATGAAGCAGCAATTCATATTCGCCATTTGTAAGCAGACAGTTTTTATGCTTGTCAAAGACAATGAGCTCTGCAGTGTAAATGCGTTTCTTGCATTCAGGTGTGGAGGCCACGTCATCAGCACCATCTGAAAGCAGAATCTTTGGCCTCTTCGTAGGAGGCTCTGACACAGTGCTTGAGGAATCTATGGATAAGACACCAAAAGTCAACTGAGTTTTGGCAATTCACTTCATTTTTTACATGAGGACAAGACAACTCTTCGATACAAAGAGGAGGTATGACAAAAATTATTCCAAATCTAGTCTATTGTGAATAGAAGTAAAACATTTCTACATTGCTCTTCCTTGGAATTTCTCGCTAGAAAAAGCAGCTGTAACTTTGAGAAAATTAGTATTAAATCAATCTGACTGCAAAAAAGTCCTGTGATAGGATAACAAATCTGCGAAAATTTTATAAATTATAGTTTACATAGTCAATATAAAAAAAAACAAGGTGTTGCTGGGAGGAGAACGTTGTGGTGAAAATCTAAACTCGCAATTGCTTGATGATCCCATTAAGCGTAGACTCGGAGCGTCAACTTAAAATTGTCCTGTCTTTGTAACTTAAAATTGTCCCTTTTGACAGACTTGCTACCAATAATTTTCATAAACTCGCAATAGGTGCGAACCTTTTTTTTACAACCTGCTTGGGCGTAGTCCCTAACTGCTATGGCATTTTCACCGGTTTACTTTATGTACAGCGTACCGAAAGGCAACAAGCAGGGCATAGCCTACGATATGTTTTAGACCCTTCTGATGCATTAAGCACTTTATTTACCTTCAGCGTCCTTGTCTGACTGACTTGCGTCCTCAGAGCCCCCTTTTTTTCTGGAAGACCTCTTAGCTCCCCGTTTGGAAACTGGCACAGTCACCTGAATAGAGAGAATATGCGTTTTGACAGTCTTGCCCTCCTCTTTGAAAGCCTTGCGTGGAATGGAAACAGAGCTTGACGCTGGAGCTGAAAGGGCCTGGGAACTAGGATTCCACTTTGATGTACATCGACCAAGATCAAGTGAATCAACTGGGAACTCTTCACCCTGTAAGCAAATTTTAATCTCATGAGGGTTGTAACGTGGATATATCTATCATTATAGGAATATAGAAGCAAACAAAGGTTTGTGGTCACGTGAGTATCATCAAAAGCAATTCACGCTGGCCTAACCAAGAAAATGTCTTTTCTCATTGTACACTTATAAGCAAGCGTTTTCAATTCTGAAAAATGAGCTGTATGCAAATTTAGGTTGTAACAATCACCTTTGAAAAAACCCTTAAAAGCCCCGAAAAGTAAAACTGCCATTTTACATTTTAGAACATTTAAGAGCTTTACCACGCATTTAAGGGCATGCATTTAAGAGCAATTTAAAGTTGAAACCCTTTTAATCAATGGATGACAAAAATAAGGACCTAAGCACTGAGCAATACTCACACCATAAATGTTTAGAACAGATTGCAGAACTTCGCTTTTGTTTAAAACAATGGAATACAAAAACCCTGATGCCTGGAAACCACTAGTGTCCATTTTGAAAGAATGTAACAATCATACTGTCATAAGCTTTTAAAAAAGGCACTTAGTTTTTTAAAAAGAAAATAGTATGGACAGATCTATATCCTGGCATAAAAATGGTTGAAAGAGAAACTCCTCGAAAATGTAGAAAAAATCAAATAATGTTCATAGATTAGATTAATCTCAAATACCTTCTTTTTTCTTGTCAAAATTTTCATCAGCTGCAAATTTACATCCACAAACTCATCTTTTAGCGAGGCTTGTTTACTTAAGTCACTGGTATTAAATATTTCTTCACCAAACTCTGGAAAAAATTGTATTTCAAGTTTAGAATGCTAAGACTTGAAAATAACAAATAAACAAAGAACGGCATTCCCTGCTTCTTTAAATTAATGTGCATCAATGCTTCATAATTAAACGTGCTTACATCAAATAAGCATACTATGGCCTAATTTCGTAATTCCTCGTAGAACTTGCAACAGCGAAAAACAATTTTATCTACTGATGAAACACTTAAACAACTTTCTCCTAATTATGGAACACATGGTTGAAAAAGTCATTGATTGATTTCACTCTGGTAGTGCATGCAGCAAAACATGATGAAAAATGAACTCATTTTTTACTGATGCTTCCCTGTCAAAAGACCCTTCTTCTGAGAGAGTTGTGTTAATGAGTGTTTTTAACAATCATAGGGTTACTTCAAATCAAACAGCGAAATTGTATTTTCGTAGAGCATGCATGAACTTGCATTGATCAAATATGTTTGCTGAAATTAAGGGTAAATTGTACACTTATAAATAAAAGAATTACCTGGACCATGGAAGAACCCAGCAAATGTGATGTTGAGAAAGTTTTCATTTTGATTGCTAAGAATGAATGGGAATTGAGCTACAGACAAGGGATCTGATGGTATAACTACAAAATATGGCTTTTGGATAGAAGACTTATAGCTTCTTCATATCATAAACAGATCATGTGCATATTTCTATTCGTTCGTTTCATTTACTCTGTTGAAGCCCTGTCTGCCGGGGCGAAATATTAGGGTTCCTTAGATTTAATTTATTTTGAAAATTTTATCTCATTACATTTGATTCTCGTCGTCATATTGCATTGTTCCTGAATTTCTTTTATATTTTAATAGACCAATTCGACTTGCGGCCTCATTTTGAAAATTTCTTCAAATTATTTTGTACAAAATTTTTGACCTCAGATTCGGATTGCGAGCAATGATTTAAGTATACTTTGAAGTTTTCACTATGGTATTGCTCACGATATTGATTTTATGACGACAAAAAGATAAAAATTTTATAAGGGATTTGACCGTGATTGGCGACTAGGGGGTTAAAGTTTCCCCCCGAATGATTTTTGCGGTCAAATCCCTTACAAGTTTTCAAACTTCATTTCTCCGTAAAATCTAAAATACAAGCACAAACAATATGAAAAATTGTACCCGGCCTATAATTGTGGTGATAAAACCAAATTTGAGCTTTAAAAAGTCGTATAATTAGGTTAGGAGAAATTTTCAAAACGAGGCCGTAAGTCGAATTGGTGTATTGACTGAATTGTAAACAAAAGAAAGTTTCGAATTTAATTGATTTCTTGATCTTTTTTCTTGATCAACTTTTACCTTGAAAACATGGACAAACAACAAGGAAGTCTTCAGAGGAGAATAGAGACTGGAGTTGAGAGCAATAAATACTTGGTTGGCACCTGTCTCTCTTGCTCTCAAGAAGTCTGGGATATGCTTGCTATGTTAAATAAGAAATAGCTTACCCAAATGGGTTTTAATTAAGTGCTGTTTACGGTCAGGGCACCAAAATGATGTACTTGTGTGTATGAAATTATCAAAATTCAAATATAGAAAACTTAATGAAAAATATATTAAGTTACAAAATAGAACACAACAAACATAATAAACCTTGAGAACTCATCATCATCAGTCTTGTTCATTATTTCTTGCAGCTGTGCCTTTCTTTTGTCCAGTAAATCATCAAGTTTGAACTTTTTTCTTATAAAGAAACATTAAAAATGTAAGAAAAGTGACATCAAACTTAACAGCAAGAATTATGATTCTATGAATAAAAATTGAAAAAATTCTCAAAAATGTTAAATTTGGATAATTACAATGGATTCTCAAAATGCTACGCTTAACTGGGTAAAAAACAATGGGACAGGGTCTGGGGGCAAGAGTGCACCCTTCCCCACATGCTTGTGTGTACAATAACTTTAGATTAGATTAGCTTTCAGAAATGAAGCATGAAGCATTTTATGGTTAATGTCACTAGCTCCTTTCTTCACTAGAAAATCTGCAGATACAGCTTCTGAATTAATTATCATCAAATGTTTAAACTGGATCAAAAGAATATTTATCATAAAACTATTCAGCATATTATTGAAACTGATAAACTGAGGATGAGCATCTTATTGCATACCTTCTTTCTTTTGAACTGTCTGCATGACTTGTCCTTCTATCCTTCATGTATGATAGAGAGCGTTGCAAGTACAATGGCTATGAAAAAAAATTATCAAACAACATCATAACTAATAATGAAAGATAGGATTTCAGTGATCCTGACAATGGCCACTGTTTCTTAAGCATAAATCAGAGGCTGAAGTATTTAGCATACTAAGTTACCAAAAATAGGTTTTGATAAAAAACTAAAAAATAAGCAAAATTTCTAGTGTTGAAAGGGAGCACAAAGTGCATAGCAAACTGAAAAATCTTCAGGCAGTTCTTAGCCCCCTAGAGGAACAGGAAGTGAATCCCTAGACTCAAAGAAACTCATAAACCACCTTCAAACAAAGCTATTAACTTAAATAACTGTGGCAGACATAAGTGTTTAGCAGAGATGCAAAAATGCTTGCACGAGTGCCTGTTGCAAGACACTTTAAAAACAAGCATACACCATTGAGAAAAGATGTGCAACACAAATTAAATGCAAATTTCAAAACTCAGTTGTGTCATTTTAATATTTGAAAATCTTGACCAAACAATTAAAAAATTAAGGGATATTTTATTTAGAAATTTATGACACTCAGATGTTATTTAAACCATTGGTATCAGACTAGTGACTTGACAACATGGTCACTAATATCAATGGATTTGAGCTGTGAATAATGAAGCTAATATATACATGACAGTAGTATTATAAGAGTGGCGCAGTGTGAGTTGTAGGAGTGGGTATGTCGTATTGGGTCTAGGGCTGTGGAAGAACCCAGTGGGGTCAAGGGGCAATGCCCTGTGGGGGACCAGGGGGCAAAGTCCCCCAAAAGCTACAGCTTTTTACAACACATGATAGTAAAAAATGGAACTTTTTACAATAATTTCTATAATGTCTAAACAGAACATCTACAACACACTTCGAAATGAAAATTATGAGAATAAAAATATGTAAATTTTTACTACTACAGCAATATTGGTATGGAAGTTGTCAAATAAGTGAAATGTATACCGTAAATTTTATACCCATAGTCAGGGTCGAAAGCAAAGGAGGGTGCATTGTTACAGCTTTGTTCTTAGAAATTAAAAACTGACATTGAAAATTTATACCATTAATCTATATTAAAAATTACTGGTTGTTTTTGCTCTATAAAGTGCAGGAAAATTCAGAAAACATAACAAGCCAATAACCTACTTGTGCAGCAGCTCAAGACGTCTTTTTTTACTTAAAAACTTAGTTATAACTGCATTATAGAGAGCGTTCATCTAGTTCAAGTGTTGAAGGAGTTCTCTTTCAATAAAAATGAGGCTCAGATTACATAATCTGTCCTGTCCCTTGGTGCATCTTAGGTAGGTATGGATTCTTTTCTATCTGGAAAAAGAGTATTCAACAGAGGCTGTGGTGCTTGGTCAAATTCAATGTAGCTAGTTTGTAAGCTTCAGGAAAGAAAGTTTTGTGGAGAATTCAGATGAAGATATGATTATACTTGATTTGTTACTTGATCGTATCAAACATGCCACCCAATTGATTGTTCATTGAATCATTGAACAAACTACTTGATTGTTCTTTGAATTTTTTGACCTGAGTCGTGGAGAACTCCTTCTTATAGCTGTCGTGCATTTCTTGATGCAGGAGGTTACGAAATTCCAACTGGTCAAAAGAGGTATAACGGGTATCAATCTGACCACAGATGCTGTCCATGATTTCGGAGAAAATCCAACGATAATCCTGAACTCCAAATTCTATTCTTTTTTTGTTAAATTATCTGGCTGCTGAGAACATTCATGGCTAGTGATTGCTGACTTCCAGAATTCATCAAATACATGCTGGTCATCATTACAGAGTTGTGCTAGTACTTGCCGGAAGGGCAGAACCCTCCAGCTCCAAGAAAACAAACAATGTCTATTAAACGTTTCAAAACTGTTTTTTAATCTGTTTGTTATGTAGTATTTTGTTCCCTCATCTGTTAGTCAATGAGTGTGTCAATCTGTGAACATTTTCAGCTCAAAAAGAGTCAATGATACTGTTGGTTTCTTCATGCTTTTTCATGCCAGTTGCCAAATTGTTTGCTCTACATTCCATTCTCTGGAGAGAATAGATACAAGACCAACAAAAAAGTTCATTTTGAAGTTGAACCAGTCCAGTCCAGTCCAGTCCAGTCCAGTCCAGTCCAGTCCAGTCCAGTCCAGTCCAGTCCAGTCCAGTTGTCACCGGTCCGCATTCTCATACTGCAAAACATTAAAACGTCTAACAAAAAATAACTGCTTTCATTTTTTGTGCAAGGTCCAGGTAGCTCTGGCTTAGGCTTACCTGCAGTGATAATGATTTTCTTTCCCTCAAAGGTTCCCTGATAAAAGCGTCTATCCAATAACTCCTTTACAGTATATATCACTAAGTTTTTGAGCACCTGAAATTGATCCTACTGAAATAAGCAGTATGCTTGCTTGAATCAGAGTACAAAAGCCAAACGTCATGATGGGCGTCAAATTTTGAATTTTGTATTTCACTGCAGATGGTAGGTGACCCTCATTGCCCGGGGTAGTACCACCACTCTTTCTATTAGTGCTTTTAGTGACTCTGTCACCTTCAGTACAAGGGTAGAGTTGCAGGACTTCTGCCAGATAGTGCAGAGGCCCAAACCATTGGTAGGGCTTTGGGAGGCTGCCTTATCAGTTGGTGAATAATCCTGGGCTACCATTTATGCCAGTTCAGAGCTCTGGGGGGCCACAGGATGGTTGAAGGGTCTCTCTATTGTATTCAGCTAACTGCTGCTATTGCCATGGTGAATAAACCAATTATCTCCAATCTTACTTCTAAATATGTTTTCAGACTCAAGCACAATAAACCAATCAGCTGCAGCTTCTAATGTGACAACTTTATAACCTTTTCAACCTCCTTCTCAAATATCCCTGGACTTTCCTCGAACCTTAATTCTGTGAACCACTATCTGCAAACGAAAACTCTCCATGCACATTTTATAACAGAGTCCAAGATCATACCTCCTAACCCAGTCAACAATGACACTGTACCCCCTTTTCTCAAATGCTCTGGATCTATAGGACCAGAAATATTAAAAAAATAAAAATTCTTTGTTTACTTACTGAAAGAGCTTGTCTGCTTCTCAAGTATCTGTAAATTTGTGTTGGCTCTGTTGGAAAGAAAAAAGTCATCAGAGGTTTGCCGGAAATTTAATCAACTTTGGAAATGTCATGGATTATCTAGCTATGTTGAGCCAGAGCTTTATCAAAATTTGGGATATTAATCCAAATACCAAATAATCAAATTTCCTGGAAAATCAGGAAGTGAAAATTTCTGAGAGAATGTTTATATGATGAGAAAAACTGTCCCAAGTTTAACATAATATTGAGAATTTTCCTTCATATAAATACAAAAAGCATAAAGGCATAATTTACATTATACATGTTATCTTAAGGCAGTTTAGGTAGCTGATGTGGACCTGTTTTCTACATTGGGTATAAATTATTTGACAAAAACTTTATGAAATATAGTGAATATGAGAAAAAGATACCTGGCTAATAGTTAAACCATAAAAGAAACATAATTAAAACATATTTATCCAACCTTGTTTAACAATACTGGAAGCAAAAGTCAGTTGTATGAATCAAACTGATTATTTTTTAAACCTGTAGCTCTATATTTGCCCTTCTTTAGTCAGTTGTTCTTTTATTATAAAACATAGCAAGGACAGCAAAATATCTACAAAAGAGGCCCTTCACAATGTGTGAGAATTGTGTGATTTTTTAATTATGCACGAATAATAGGCTGGTCTTAATGAATCAACTGAGCTATTTTGTACAGTGAAAGCTTAATTGTGCACATTGTTTAGAATAACTGACTTGATTAGAATGTTTAGAATGATGTTTTGAAATTAAACTTACACATGTGGGCTAACTAAATTAAATCTGATTAATTTGAATTTCCTATGGCATTTTATGGTTGGAAATCAGATTTGAAAACAAATTTGGGGCAATTGCGATATGTGAAATGGAGAAAGCAATATGTATTGGTACTTGTTAAATTCATTAATCCTATTGAAATGTTTTGTGAACAAAATGACAAGAAAAATGAGCTGATTCAACAAATTTTTGAAAATTCTATCAATTTCAGTTAAACATCTTAGTATATTTTCGTTTTTTATTTATGATATCATATTTATTTTGAAATTAAACCACTGTGACACTGATTGTTGATGAAAAGGAGCTTAAAAAGTGTGTAAAAAGCAAGATAATTCGTTCAGATAGATGGTGATACTTACTTGTGGGCTTCCCAATTCCACAGACTAAGTTGGAAATGATATCGAATAAATTACTAACTTACTTTCAAAAGTCTGAAGAAACAATTCATAATCGGCGCGAAGCTGCTCAAATTTCAGTCTTCTTGGACTTGGGTTTGGTGATTCCGCCATCTTTCCTTTCTTCTTCGAGCATTCATAAAAGAGACCGAGAAATTGTTTATCTTGCTGTTTAACTTAGCAGCCTTGCAAACTGGCGTGTTGTGCGTTATTTAGGCGACCTTTGCTTGCCGCAGTTCCTCGAATTAGTGTTTCGGTGCGGCCATGCCAAGGCCTATTGTGCCCAAAGGTTCATTCGAAGTTGTTGATGTTGTCATTTTGTTCTTTTATGCAAATTCTTTGTTCATTTGTGGCGGGAAACCAAGATTTGGTATTTGAAGACCACCGCAGATAGTGGCAGATGACAGATGGAGGCCGACTGGAAACAGTTAATCAGTTATCCTCAAATTCTCGAAATCTTCAAACTGCCGAAATCCTCAGATGATCATGTTATTCAATTTGGTATCGATGCAGATCATAAAGGCCCCGTCAGATCCAATAAAATTTTATGAATTTTGATTTTAGGGGATAAGAATATCTTTAATTTATTTGTGAATGTTACCAATGGAATCCTAAGGTGAAAACGAACGCTTGTTGTCTACACAATGGAGTTCGTTTTCACCTTAGGATTCCATTGGTAACATTCTCAATAGGCAAGCGGCACTGATTGGTCAACCTTAATTAATTTGTGTTTGTTGTTGTTTATTATCTGCTCTTGCAGTGTGTATTATTTTCATTATTTGATCGGTATATCAAATTTCTCATTAGGTCGTCAATTTTCCCCGGCACCAAGCGGGCTTTGAGTGTGTCAGACTGTCAGTATAAAGAACTGGACCTTCTATATCTGAAAGAAAGATATCACTGCCTTGATAATTTATCGGAAGGAATTTTCTCGTTTTTGTCCTACTCAGAATAACTTCCGCAAACATTTTAAAGTCGGTTAAAGGGAGTACCAGGTATCCATGCTGAATCACGCGTGAAATAATTGCAAATCACGCTTTCACGATACTAGAAATTAAATTTCACAATCACGCCTCTCAGAATCTCTTTGAATTTTAACAAGGGATCAGCCTGCCTAAGCCGCCCTGAGCCCCCCCCCCCCCCCCTACGTCAGCACTGGTAATCAAAAACACGTAAATTACATCAAAGGTAATTAAAAAGTGCCGAAGAACATATGATAATAACTCTAAAGAGCTTTCGAGTCGGTGACGCATTTTTTATCTAATAAAATAGAACATTAAAATTGCAAGTTAACATCACAATAAATATGGTGAAATGTCAATATGCTAAGAAAGGCATTTAATTTTGCAAAGGTTTAATCATTATTGAATAATCATATCTAACATTCATTTAAAAAACAAGAACTGAAAGATAAAATAAAATGAAAACGTGAAAAGGAACAAAAATAATACGGAAAGTAAGGGTTCTTGACAATGTATGTATTATATTGCCGGTCCGTTGTATTTAAAAGCTATATAGTATCTAATAGCAATTTTTTGAAGTTTTTGAGAATATCCCCACGCCCTTTGCTCGCCCATTTCATTGGTTTTCATAAAACTACTTCGAACCTTTTCGAAGACCCTCAGCCCGTGTCTCTTTTTATTCTATGAATACGTCCCGCACTCCTTTCTCTCCTTTTTTGCTTGTTTTCTTTTTCTTGAGTGTTTTGAAAACAAAATTTTACACCACATGCTTTGGAGGAAAACTGTCAACCGGAAAGGTAATTTCAAAAATAGATCCCGGAAGTTGTAGTAGAATGAAAGTGAGGCTGCACCATGGATACCGATTTAGCGTTACAGTTGCTTAGGCCTTGAAGAAAGATGAGCAGGCGACTCGACGACGAATTATGTTAGATTAGCAAAATGTCGAAAATATTCTTGATATAATGGAATCATCAGTAAGGCTCGGAGGACACGAATCAACTATTCTCACCAATGCTTCCAACCACATAACGATAGTCTCTGATTTGCCGTACAAAGCAAGGACCAGGACAAATTTTGAGAGCTCTTCGTTATCTGAAACAACTGGGAAGTACTTGAAGGGGTCGCGGCCAATGCATAGAACGACTCTGTGCTTTGAAGATAAACCATTTAAACTTGAATACATAACGTCAACACAAAAGGTTTGCCTTTTCTTTTTCAGGAATCGAGCTGTTGAATTCAGATGAGGTTGATTCAACACAAAGCCTCTTATTCCCCCTTTTCAATTTTGTTGTTATCAACGATAAATGCTGATTATTTATTGAGGAATACAGTTTTTTGGAATGCTTTTTCGTCTGAAAATAAACATAACCAGGGTAACCTTACATACCAATTCTTATAATGGTCAAGAAAAGTTATTGATGTTCATGAAATACAATCATTTGTTTAAAGTCAGAGTGGCGGGAAATACATTGAAATTAGAGATGTAAGAAGAGCTGACGGGCAAGGGGCTAAGTGCCAAGATAAAACAATAGTTGAATAAAGAAATTTGCTAAATTTTGGTAGGGCAAGGGTGCAACTGCAGATGAAATTTTCTGGAATTTAAGCCTTTTGTTGCATCTCTTCTGAACCCCATAACAAATTCATTTCTGCTTTCTAATCAAAACTGAAATTGGAAAATCCCATTCGGATTTCATGTTACCAAAACAAGAACGTTTTTCCTGATAGTTATTATGATTTCCTCTCACTTAGGCACATTCAATAAAACAGAATATTCCAAGAAGCAGACCCCCGTACAAATGCCAATCATTGCATCATTCACACTTCTCAATTGGCACGACAGGAAGCCTTGATCTGAACACACAAACAATGACATCCTTTGAGAAGAAGCCATTGATACCAGTGAGTACCGTGCTAGTTTTTTAACAAATTCCAGGGTAAAAAGATCTTGATACATACTGCATCAGATGATGGCCTTTTGCCTGTGTAGGACTAACAGCCCCTATGAGATTTGCCCAAGGTAGGGGTGCTCCTGTCAAATGCAGAAATTTTCCAGCAAGGTTTTAGATTAGGGATGCACCAAGAAACAAAATAATGTAAATTCTCCCCATCCTAAAATGAACTGAGCATTAGTTTTTTAATGGTTAAGCATGGGCTCTGACACAGATTGGAAAGTCGGGTGGCCAAGGGAAAATTTGATACTTGTGACAAAAGATTTTGAAAAAAGCCCCCCACCCTTCGTCAGAGGCCCTGTTAGGATGTGATCTCAAGAAAGCTTGTGCAACATGGAAATGTTTGCATCGGTTGAAAATGTTCAGGCAACACTGCAACACAAGCACCTTTCATTTTTCTAACAAACAAAAATATGGTGCAGCCAAGGTTTGCTTGGCATAATTCTTTTGACAATGTTAACCTACCTTCTAAATATTACCTAACCAGTGCTACAAGTTATTCAATTTCTGTCAGTGGAAGGGTTTCTTATAAAATAGATATGTTTCTTATATGGACATTTCTTTAGGCTAGCAAGCTTCATCAAGACAGAACAAGATGGAATGACCAAGTTGTTGCAGGTCATCACATGGATAAATCTTTAAGACATATTGGCTTTGAAAAGGTATGTAAGAATTTTTCTGTCCTATAATCAGAGTTTACAAGTAGTTAAAGTTCCTCCTAAAAAATTAAGGTATATCAACCAGAGGTAACAGAAATACAATGACCATCAAAACAAGTTGAAATGCTGAGTTTAGGCTTTTAATGAATGCATGTTTTCCATCCGTTTACTTATTTCAAATGAACAGATCACCCTCCCCATTAAAAAAAGTTTGGAAGGAAGACAAACATTTTGCTAACATCTGAAACAATGTCTTTATTCCCACCTTCATTTGTTGTAATTTTCTACCCAGAATCTAAAATTTCAAAGGGAGAGGAAAGCCTTTGAGTCAAATGATGATGACCTTTGGTGGACATTGTGAATTTCTCCTTCCCTAGAATTAAATTAGGGACATTCCACTATATCAAAACTACTTGTGGTAAGATCAAGAGCTTCTGATATGACCAAGAAGAGACTGCCTCAAGTAATTTCTAAAATGTATTCTATAATATGTAACAAAGAGTCTAGCCTGCATGCAGACTTTACTATCCATTGCCAAGGATACTGCCAAAAATTCCTTCCGTATTTGCTCTCATTCACAATGGATAGTAAAGTCTGGACTCAGACTACAAAGATTCATGAGTAAAAGAATGTCCCCTTTATAATCTCACAACCCCCCTAATCCTAATGTCTATTAAAGCAACCCTGACTGGTACTACCAAATTCATTATGTTGTGAAAAATATAGGTCACACATGAAACAACATATGACAATGTGCATAATCTTCTGGCCAAAAAAATACCTTGTGGACTTCCAAGAATCAAGAAGCAACCCGAAAAGTTTGATATAATATCTGGTGAGTATTGAGTTTTCTTTCTTGGAATTTTGGGGTAAAATACTTTAAGGATTCACAGACATGAGTACAAGGTCATTGTAATTGTAAATATGGGGCACCACAGAAAAAGGAAAAAAATCCAACATATTTTACACAAGTTTGAAAAACCCCAGCATACTAATGCAAGGTTCTTTTTTTAGAAACTTATCTTTCAAAATTTTAGACAAATCCAACAAATTTAAGAAAGGGAGGGGGAATTGTGATCCTGCCCCTGTCATGACATCAATATATCGTAATCTATATAGTGACCACCTTGCTAATCACCTTTTTCACAATGGTTTAGAGATGGGACTGTACTGTACCTGATGAACAGTGATGTGGAAGTAATATGTAATTTATTTTTCAAGGAGCCTATATTGGACCAGCAGCACAAACATCACATCGATTGTGTTCAGGAAATAAAGTGTTGCAGAGAACAAGACAAGATACAAATGAGAATATATTTGGATGATTGGGATTTAAAGGAAGTTTCTTACATTTAAATTGAATTTCTTTTATCTGTAAAAAGAGTAAAATGTAGGTTGACTATTATATCTGCAATTTCATTTATCTGTACAGGTTAGTTTTCACACAAAATTTCAAGCACTATACTAAGCTTGTTAAGAAAATGCATATATTGTATTAATCCAGCATTAGGCCAGTGGTTTTAAATTAATTTTTTTATTCTTTTAGAGGACAAGGCTAATAATTATTTTATATATGTACTGCATACTTTTTTACTAAATTGTTATCGTAGCGAGAAATACTCGTTAAAATATTTATATCATAGCGAAAAAATGAAAACTTGACACTTTTTCTGTGTTTACTTACTTATGTTTACTAACCTGCTTACTTTTTAAAAGAAATTGGGAATTGGATATACTCCATGAGATATTACAAATTTCAAGCTAGTTCTTGATGTTCCATTTAGCTTATTTCTGAATAAATATTTAGAAGGAAAATATAAATCTTCCAAAAATCCAAAACAATCTCTTTGTATCCAAAACAAAAGGTGGTTAAAATTTTTCTAATTTTTTGTTGTACTACTATAATAATAAGTCATTCAGATATAAGAACAATTTGTTACAATGTTTAGATAATTTGCCATATTTTCATCCAAGTTCTGAAATATACTCTGGATTGTAGACAGGAACTGAAATAAAATGATTTGTTTGGAGGATAAAGTGTAAGAAATCTCTGATTGACAGCAAGCCAAATTTTGAACAATTTTATTTCTAAGCCTTTACTTTAACATTATACAGTTTGGTCATTTCCTTTCTCAACTTTAGTTGATTCTTGGAATTTGCATTATGTTATATTATTCTCTGACGGAAATAAGCAGTTGAACTATGACTTTGCAGTTGAAATATTCCAACTAATTTGAGGAATTTCCAAGATTGGAGATCTGACAGCCCTACATCCATTGGCATTTACATGCTTGTGTGTAGAAAATGACTGTCTCTAAGTTTTGTGCTTTGTTTCATGATATCACAACAGCATGGCATATATCACTCCATCAAAGACTAGTGAGTATAATCTTTATAAAGTACTGAAACATACCAATAGTAAGGTTGAAATTAATTGATTTAATCTTAACTATAAAAATACAAGTTCACATCAAACAAATAAAATGGCAAGAACACAATATTAGTTTAAATATTAAAAACCACCCACTGTGTGAATAAAAGGATTTTAGGATTTTTCTCTTTCCACTTCCAATTTCTTAAATTTTTCAAAGACTTTTATAAAACAACTTTGCAAAAAAAATAACCTTCAAAATATTTCAAAAAACTGTAATTACAGTCGACTTTGCTTATTGTCACTCTGCTTTAAGTCACACTTCTGGTAACTGTCAAATAAAATTTAGACCCAAATAGGCAAAACTATTAAATTAAGCTCCATTTAGAGTCACACTCTATTTATGGTCACAGGTTTTGAAGAAATATTTGATGTGACTATAACCAGAGTCTACAGAAATTAAAGCAGAAAATGATTTTGCAGTGTTTTTGAGCTTAGATAAGGATTTGCCACCATACATTTTTTCCTGATGCATTTGATTCATACACATTAAATATTTTGTTAAAATTGTTTGTGCTTTAGATTTTTTGCATTTGACTTAATATTAAGGATTTAGAATCCGAGAAATTAAGGAATTTGACTGCAATAACTGTTATGGGTGTCACTTTTCACCATCAGTTGTGAATCACAGTCAGATTGATTATAAAATTTTTCACATTTACTAATTTTGACATAAAATCAATTTCATGAGTACTACCATAATCGAAACTAACATAAAGACTAAAAAACTTATCCTTGAACTGATTTTGAGGTCAAAAATTAGTACAAAGGATTGTTGAGTATTTTTTAAACACGAGGCCCTAAGTTGAATTTATAGACCTATTTTTGTTTGGACAAATAGTTAGAAATTCTTGACAAAAAGTATGTCATTTAGCATTTGATGGTACCGCTACATTGAAAGAAACAAACAGTTTGGATGGGAGGGCCAAATAGCAGGAAATGACTGGGCAGGAAATACAAAGTTGAAATGGAAAAAGAACCAAATCTGTCATCTGAAAAGCAAAAGGGGACATGTCTCCCTGTGTCCATCACCTGCCATGCCTCCTGGCCTCAAAATTGCTTATTATACCAAAAATATAAGCTGGTTGGTCAGAGATACTGATCTTCAGCCAAAAATCTAGCAAAAAACAAATTCTAGGCTTGAGGTTGGATGGTACACACCATTGCAAATATTTTACTTGAGCCATCAACCTTGACAGCTCAACCATACACTAAATTACTCAAATTATAAAGTGTTCTGAGTTCATTCAAGTTATTTACAGACAAACATCCAATCATTAAGCTTTAGAAGAAAATTATAACAACTATTAAATGCACAAAAATTATTATTGGAGAATTTCTATACAGTTGAAAATAAATTTCAAAGATTATTTTACTTTTTGTGCCTCCACTTGCTTATGATGCAGCAACAGCAATTGGTTTTTGCTTTGCACTTTCTTTTGCTGGTTCAATTTCACCTGGAAGCAAAGAAAAGTTATTCAAACTTGCAAATCAAAAAAGCTACCAAACTAAAAGATACAGAGGATGCTGAGGACAAGGGCCTCTGCACATCTTGAATTAAACCCTGTTCTTGAGAAAAGCAATATTGAATACTCCTAATTTGTGCAATTACACTTTTTAATGTAGTTATCCAATTTTGCCAAATATGCCAATTCATCATCATCTAGAACCAAGTTTGACATATTTTGCTTGTTTACAATCAATGAAGGGAATCAAGAAAGATGGGGCTGGGAAGAAGGAACATGGCACTTTCTTCATACTTCCTGCTGGATCATTTATATCTGGGGTTGCTTCTAAACTCTTTTCCTAGAATCTATGTTTGATGCTAAAAGAAACAAACACTGATAATTTTCAAATTGACTTTTCCCCTTTGTAAAAGTAAAACTCTTTGCCCATGTTGAAGTATGCCTAGACTCCAATTTGTTGCCCATAATTACAACATAGTGCAGTTGCCCTACGCCTACAGTGCACCCATGATTTCCTGAAATTGAAATTGCCTTATTTATTGGATTTGTGAGGTGCAGTCTTCACCTATACACTGTTGCTTCACATCTGAAATGTCTATTGCTCTCCAGTTAATTAAAAATCTAGTCTGGGTCCATCAGATTTCTATACCTTCTTTCTTTATGAGAAAAATATACTGCCTAGTTTGTGTCTGTACCCTAAAGAACTGTTTTCCATTAAAGGGCTACTAATAGAATAATATGCTATCGTCTCTAGCAGCGACATAAGATCACATGGAGATAAATCTTACTTGGCTCAGCCATTGGAACATCTGGCAGCTGATCAGTTTCTTTTGAAGGTTCTTCAGTTGGCACAGATGGCAGTTCAACCTACCAATAATGATAAGATAAACATTAGATAAGGATTCACTTACACTGATTTTAGGAGCACAGAAGCTAGATGAAAGTGCAGTGAAATCAGAAATGTTGAAAAAATTTTCACAAGGAAGGCATTTTACAGCTGGTCAACAAATTAAGTTAAAAACGTGATCTGCGTTGCAGAAAATATAAATGAGAAGAAAATGAATGGTACAAATGCGATGCAATAAATAGCTACACAAAAGATGCTCTGGCAAAAAGTAAGCAAGAGACATTGAAAGTAAAAGAAAATGGTGGCATTTCAAACATCCGAAGAAAAACAAACCTTAGTTAACTCTTCAAGTTCAGCAAGAATGTCATCTTCATCCTCTTGTGTGAATGCGCCACTTATAAGAGCATCTATTTCCTATCAAAGTATTAGTATTGTCACACAAATTCAGTTATTCATCAAATCCTTGGAGGTTAGGGAATATCATGTGTCTTGAATGTTTTAAGAAATATTGGAATATATTATTCCTATATATTCCATGGTAATATAGGAAATAAATCTATGAAGCACAATAAAGTAATTTGTGTTGAATACAAGTATCTTAATATACAGGATGTAAAAATGGTAGTTAATGCAATAAATATTAATTGCTTCTTTGGTAACTTGTGTTATGAATTGTGTTCATAAACAGTACAACCCTGATAATTTGAGCATCCATGGAACATTGAAAACAGTTTAAGCAAACAAATCTTCAGGTTAATGTGCTTTCATTAACAGAAAAGTAGATTTATGTTTTCTTATCACTATTGATATTGATTAAGAACCATCTTGAGGAACACAACTGTTTCTGAAACTAAGACCCAATTTACACTACAGAAAGAAGAATGGAACTCTTTGGTTCTGTTTTATGTTTGAGCTTGATATCTCTTTTTTCACCGCATTTACACTGAAGCAAAAAGGAATGGAACCAAATTTTTGCCCATTTACACTTGAGTAAAAAGAACAGAACTTTCATGTGACACATGCACAGAGACAAGGCAATGATGTCTGACATTATAAAAAAGCCTCTCCCCAGCCCTAGATTAAGCCCATTTTCAATTGTAACCAAAACGTTCCAAACGAAACTAAAGAGTTGCACATTTTAGCAAAACCAATAAAGAACGAAACCGTTCCCAAACTAGCACAGAACGAAGATGCCTAAACGCCAGGCCTATCATCGCTTTTTCAGGCAGGGAATCAAAGGGTCCTCTTTTCTGTAGTGTAAACAAGGTCTAATTTAACACTTGAAATAAATTATACATTTCCTATATTATTTTATCCATTCATTGTAATTAATTTAAGATTTGTAAATGTAGTATAAATAGTAGTCTTTAATTAGCTGTTATATTAGCTAAAAAAAATTTGCTTCGCCAACTGTTAATAATTTTATAAATAAAAAAGTTAATTCAAGTGTAAAACAAGTGCTTTGTTGGTAGTAAAGTATTCTGAACGGAAAAGGAGGGGGATGTAAAAAACATGAAATTTCAAATTATCAAGGGTTCAAGCTATCATGATTACAGTGTACTTACATTCTGGTATTCAACAGCTTCCTGGGTGTCTTCCATAATTTTCTCAACATCTTCTAAAGTCATTATCTACAAAAATACTCCATGAGCATTAAACAGAAAATACAAAAGGGTATCAGATACAGGGGCGGATGCAGAGCAAATTTGAAGGAGGGGCAGTCGGTAGTAGGGGCGCTGTAAAATTTTCAAAAATTGGTGACGAGAGTACGCTGTATACAACAATTTCATAACAATTTCATATCTATTTTCAGTATAAACAACATAACTTTGAGGTAATCCTTGAAGTAAATTTGATCTCAGAAACTTTTTCACCTGATTCTCATTCTTCAAAAGGGGCGCAAAATCTCCAAAAAGGGGCACCAGACTTGCTTCAACTCGTTGAGGGAGGGGCAACTGCCCCTAGTTGCCCCCCCTTAAATCCGCCACTGATCAGATATCTAATATACATCATTCATTATTAATACTGACAACACCCTGCAAACTGATAAAACCCTGTATGATAGAGGGGTAAATGAGCTCAATGGAAATGGCTGCATGGAAACATTTTCTGTAGCTTTAAACTAAAAAAGTATTTCAAAAAAATTTCTAAAATAAATAATCATTTTGGAACATCGATTGTTTATCAATCAAGAACAAAATACTGCTTTAAAATACCTTGTGCAGGGCAGTAAGGCAATCATTTCCAACTTTAAGGTTCTGGACAACTTTGGCCTGTACTTGGGCAAATTCAATTTCATGAACCTAAATTGAAACGGAAAATTAAAAAATAGCACGACAAAAATCAGAAAATAAAAACAATTCAACTTTTGAAAACATCTTTCACTGTCATATGTATAACACAGAGGTAGCAGGACAACTTTATTCCAGATTGAACAAGTCAGAGTTTCTCAAAAAAAACATTTTCAATATAAAATAACTCTCAATCATACAGAAATCTTTTGAACTATAAAAAAAATAAACACTAATCTATTCAATGGTGGCGCCAGAGGGGGCAGGGGGCTACAGCCCTCCAGCAGAGCTGCTTAGCCCACCCATCGAAATATATACAAAGTAAATTTATAATTTTGTTGGAACAAGATTTTGCTACTGTTTGTAAAATTTTTACAAAAGAAAAGTAGTAACTGATTACAGAAATCCCATTGAGTATAAATGTACAACCAGGTAAACTCCAGAGTCACTGGGACATAATTTTAAAAGATAAATAACTACAACAATTATGGAAACAGCCCCCTATACTAGGCTTTTAAAAGACATAAAAAATTGGAGATCTTGTAACCCACACTTGGGGACACATTGGTGATACCCGCCTAAGGGCTCAGAAACTGTTCTTAACTCGACAGATTCAGCATTTTTGGTGCCTAATCAGGCCTTGCCCGGAAAGGCGCTCGATCGAACGTGCGCGCCTAGAGCGCACACAAAAGAAGCCTAAGAGAGCGATTTATAGAGCCCCTCAAAACGTAAAAACAATATTACCACGGAGCAAAATAATTTGTTGGCCTTTGTCTAATAAACTTGATCAAACATAAACAATCTTACCAATAGACCGCAATATTATGTTTTGCGTAAGATTACCCCTTGAAAAAAAATTTCAGCAAATTCAACGTTGGGTTTTTCAACCCTTTTTAATCTAATAACCCTCTGATAACCATCAAGGACACAGGCCATCAAGCGTATTCTCCGGCAGATTTATTTGATTTTCGAGCAAGCGTTAATCTTCTGTTGAAGTATTATTTTCTGTTTTTTCTAAATAATTTAAAATCACCTTTGCAAATCAGAGATCACATTTCCTTCCAAATTACCGCATTGCTTTTCAGTTTTCGTTTGCTTTCGCGAGTAATAGATGTTCTAGTGTGTCTTATAGAATGGATAGCATAAAAATGGAAACAAAGTTAATGTTCGACTTAAAGCCATGCGTTTTCCTTTATTTCTATATTTGTATTAACATAGTGTTTGCTGCATGTTTTGTTATTTCATATTATGGTGTTTTTTGGTATCACCATTGAATTTCCTATTTAACACTCTTCCAAAGCTTTCGATATGAAGCTCTCGATCTCCTAAAGCTCTTTAAGGATGCTCTCAAGGACATTTTATTTAGAGGTGCGAACTAGAGCGCCTAGACTTTCTAAGAGGCTCTTTTTATGGAGCACCTTCATTTTGCTTAGAGCAAGGCCTGCCTAATCGGTAAACTTGGTGGTGGCATTGATTAAAATATCAATGATAGTTGATGGTATATTTGATTGTTTTTATTATAATTTTGATTTAACTCTCATCACTCCTCGGCACGTTAATATTTTAACTGTTAAATGGCAAAATTTAACCAATGAGAAGCAAACTCCACATTAGAATATTTCAGGGTTGATGTGTGCGAATGGCAAGAATAATTATAAAAACACCGATTAAAACCGTATTCCGCCTGTGGATATTAATTCCAAGAGTAAGGTTGTATTGTAAACAGGTAGAAAAAGTTGATCCAATTAGTGCATTTTCCAGTGAACTGGAATCATCAAAAATTTCAAAATTTTCCCACCTTTTGTGGCAGTCATGGTGCCACCTTAGGTGTTTATTGAGACACCAGCAATTAACAGCAAAAATGGTTCCTTTTCTGTTTTCAATGATTAAATTACACCTTTTTATTACTCAGAAAAGTTTGGAAGGTTGAGAATGTAAAAAAATCATGGAAAAAGATCTACAAAGAATTTTCATAATTGATGTCTTTTGTCTTTTTAGGGACATTTCGTTATAAAAGCGAATCCCTCACAAAAAATATAAATCCCACTCTAAGTAGCTCCTCTTTCCTGTTTGTTAAATTTATGTCATGTCATAATCTTAATATTTGTGCGTCTTTTTGCAACTGAGATTCCGTATTTTCTCTCTGATTGCCTAGCCCCCCTGTCAGAAGTTCGGAGAATTTCTAGTGCCATCACTGAACCTATTGACAAACAGGCACAATAAAATTTGATCACATTTTGTTCCCAGGTTTTTTGGTAGAATTTTCCAAAAATATGTGATGATTCTTATTTAAATTTTATTAACCAAAGATTTTCCCACTTCAGAATTTCCAACAGATTTTAAAATGTCTGAATAACTTGATGTCCTGCTAACAGTTGTTTTAACACATTCAATGAAACATATTTGGTGTAATGAGTTGCTTGGCTTAAGTATCAACCACCTTTTACAAAAATTCAAAATAAAGTTTCATTCTTACCAGTTTTTCTAACGTTTCAAGCTGATCATCGGTTTTTGTAAGAAGTGACTCCTGGTATTTTTTCTTCTTGAGTAATAATCTTGCTTTACTAAGAAAAAAAACAAAACATAGAAAATTATTCAAAAAGGCATCATCAATAAAACGTTCAACCGACGATTTAAGAGACATGTTAAAGAAAGGACCAATAACTTAGCTGAACAGAGATTTGTCGTTTTCCTGAGCAAGAATTGACAATTCAGTGAATAAATGTTGACTTTAAAATGTTTTTAAACCTTTATGATTTAAAATCTTTAAAAATCTAAGAAAAAAACTATCAAGAAATAGGGTTGTCCTTTCCAACTTACTTTATCTTATAAAATATCGTTTTCTCATCTCTTTGATGATAACTGATTTATGAACGCAATGAAGATTTATTCCATTTCCTAGCGCTACTTCAAGGCAGATTTTTAAACTTGAATTAGGAGGAAAAAGATTGTATGTAGGAAGAAGTTGATGTTAGAGGGACCAATTACTCTGAAAGGAGAAACGTGGTGCTAGCTAAACTATTCAATTATGAGTTTGATTGTCGTTTAGGCTTTTGGTTTGCATTGCATACCCGGAATCGACCACAAGTTGTCGAAGCAAACACAGTGATATCAAACCAGGAAAACTTGTATGTGGTGTTCCTCAAGGTTCTGTTCTTAGTCAAGTACTTTTTGTATTCTATACAGAAAAAATTCCAGAAATTGTTGTAAGGTATTGCAGAGATTCAACATCTGAAGTCAGTATACATGGCTATGCAGATGATTTGCAATTTTGTCCAGGCTGCGCAACACAATCAACTGAAGTCTGTATTTTTAATTTGGAACGATGCTGTAAAATAATATGAGACTGGTTCTCTCACTATAAATCAAAAGCCAACCCAGATAAATTCCAATTTATTGTCTATGGAACAAGACAACAGCAGAAAACATCCCTGCTTAGCTCAAATCTTTAACTATAAACTAAACATCTTTGAGAGCAACTCTAGTTGCAAAAAATCTTAAGAAACCTGTGCTCGACGACTCATTCAACTTTCAAAATTAAGAGGATCCATGGGCAAAGAAAAGTTTCAAAATGTTGTCAGCGCCACAGTTATATTGAAAACAACTATGGGTGACATTAAATATGCCAATACTGCCAGCACCAACTTGCAGAAAGTTCAACAAATTTAGAACTTGACAGCAAGAGAAATAAACAGAGTACCTAGACGCCATCACACAGGGCACCGCGCAGTCATTGAGCTAGCTGGGGCTATGGCGCCCCCATTTTCTGCAATAATAGGCTAGAAACATTTTTGCAAGGTTTACTCTAACGCAACTTGGATCGTTTACTTCTATGTAGTAGCAGTTTTTCTTGACTGGGAACACTTTTTGTTCATTGTCTAAGTGTTTTATCTTGTTTCATGATATGACATATTTTCTAACTTGGTTAGCTTGGTGTTTTATTACCCTTTTTATAGTTGTTGATATCTTCTCTGAACCAGACTGTTTATAAAAATTAAGCAGAAATAAGCAAAAATTTGCGGCCACGCCCATTCCAGCCCTTCCACTCTCAGACTGGTGCGCGGTCCCTGCATCACACTTCCGAACTAACAAGACATATTGACTGGAGGAGAACTGAACAAATGAGACAATTTCATAGTCTTTCGGTGATATACAAAAGCTTCAATGGAATTGCTCTTTGACATTCATCTGAAAATTAACTATAACAGAGATATTCGCATTCATAACACAAGATAAAGGAGTAATTTGCATGTGCCAATATCAATTTTGTCGAGCCACCACAGAAGACTTCCAATCCACTACCAACAACTGTGAAACAAGCTCCAAACTTTGGAAAATCTAGGTTTTCACTGAACTCGTCTTTTACTACTTAATTTTGTACAAAGAACATAGGTTGGAACTTTAAACGATCATTTCATAAACAAGTGTAGATAACGTATTTAATTCGTTTATCAAATTTATTATGCGCTGTGAAAAACCTTGTATCAAGATCTGTAACCAGTAGTGTGAATTTAAGGAGTTTGACTATAGGCGGAGTCAGCTGTATCCTATTCCAATAAACTGTACCTGGTAAAATAATTTATCTTATTACAATGGTATCCTATTAGACTTTGCATTAAAGGGTGTCTTTACAAAGTAGTTGTTTCCATCCCTTCTTATGATGCCGATTGAAGATTTTCTGTCACATAAAATATATTTTATACTTGACCTATATTCGATAAGCAAAGTGAACAAAAATTTCTGAAGTTTTTTATCCTTTTTGAAGATTTTGTACTTGGAGATTCTAGTACAATATCTTGATTTTGATACAAGGAATCGTTGGATGAATGCAAGACAACCCATACACAATAAACACAAATACACATGTAAATAATAAAGTTTTTGAAGATTTATTGAAAAGTTTCAAAGGATGACCACTCTGATCCCAACAATATTTACCATCGTTAAATTAATGGAGCGTCAAGTGTAACAATCGAATTCAAGGCGCACCCTTAAAATCAGAAATTTCGACTATGGAAATACATAAGAAAACCCATTCAAACAACCAACTAGGAAAATGGGTTGCGCTTCCCCCGCCACTTAAAAAGCTCAGTTTTTGCCACTGCACACACAAAGATTATGCATAAATTCAGTTAAAATTCAAGGGTAAGGCCAGTAACATATTCGTACGTTACGTAGAGGAAGTGTCCATTAGGGCTGAGACTTGTCCGGAACCTGAATTAGAATGACGTGGAATTGGGGGTATGGTGATGTGATGTAATGGGGTCAAGATGAAAGCTCTCATGTTTCTTCATTGTTTCAAGAATTTTGAAGGAAATCTGCTGAAATGTTCAAGTAAAAGGGCAACTTGAGTCACACAACCCTTACCTATGCCCCTGGATGAATCATAGATTAATGTATTCAAACAAATAACCTCTATGCGGTTTAACAGCCCTCCTGCTTCACCTTGCTTATATCAAATTTAATGATCATTTTTACTTTAACACACAGGATGTTTTTTTACTGGTCATAATAGCAACGTGTCTGCCCCGAGGTGCACTCACAACAAAACAATAGATTCCTTTGTATATTATTGATAAAATACTAGACTTTTTCTGCGTTCGGTACAGCTTTAGCAACGAGTTACCTAATAAAACAGTTGCCATTCATTGAACAACGTCTATACGCCATATGCTTGCATTCTTTTGACCATCTGTAGGATGCACTCCAATCGTGCGACAGGTGGCCTATGCAACGAGTCAATTACAAACACGAATAGTCAAATACTATCTAGCTTGTAATTAATCCTTCCTAAATATCACTGTGTGCTTTCATTCAGTCGAGCAATCACTGAAACGATGGCAAGACTCGCCTGCTTAATTTTTCAACACCATTATGATAACTGGAGATTCATTGCAAGCAACTCCATTAATTGAATTCGCCTCCCCAAATACAACGCTTATTTCAATTGCAAAATGAGTTACACAAGTTCAAAATATTGACTTTTGCGTGGGTCCACATTGTTCCAAATATGTCTGCCAAACACTGTTTAAATTAAACATATGCCCAAAAATTTGAGCTGTAGAACTGCATATTTTCTGGTGGTAACTTTTCACTTCATAGTTTATGCGCTGTTCCAATAATTGCAGCACAGATCTAGTTTCATAACATTAATCATTGGCAATAAATCGTCTAATAACCGCTATTGACATACAAATCTAAAAAGCCATTATTTCAATAACTAGAAATTTGTATGATACCTTAAATACTGTCAAACTACGGTTTTGTATGAGGCAAACAAAGAAAACTAAAGCTGAAACTGATACCATCCTAGTGATATTCAATTATATTATCCTTAGTTCTTAGAACTTCCTCAACTCTTCGTTTTCCATATCGGAATCGATATTCCATTTTATTCATGGCGTCTTAATCTACAAAAGCATTGCTACTGAAGACTAATAAAACATGTTAGAGCTTGCTAAGACAAAAGGTCGAGTTATGTGTACAAGCCAGAGTTGAAGTTTGTCAATAGATTAGTCACAAGTCAGGTCTTAAAAGAATTTAAACTGTTTTGATGTCATGAAATCAAAACTGAATGCTGTAAAAGCCATTGGGCTTATTTGATTCTAGAGGATTATTTGATTGATAAGACACAGCCCCTTTCCATTTCTCTCATCCATCGCGGAGAAGGGGGCTGGGCAAGCTTGAGCCCCTCCTTTCCATTTGCCAAAAATGCAAAAATTTACCAATGAATCACGGTAATCAAACCATTTTTATTCAGTTATAGCCCCCCCCCCCCACTTTTTTAGACCCCCACTTTTCTCAATACCTGGCAGTGCCTGTCTCTTGTGATTTTCAAGGCTGTAAGAAAACTTAGTGGGCTTTGAAAATATAACAAGTATTAGAGCTGCTTTCTTAGGCATGTATCATCTGCACTGTGAGGAGTACTACAGGATGCACTGTATGGTTATACTGTATCCGTAATTATAAAGAAATTAGATAAATCAAATGACAGATCCAGCTAAAGCTAGAAAAATGAAAAGCAGAGCTGGAACAATTTTTTTATCTAAAATGTATCAGAATTTAGAAATAGAAACCATTATGCATAAAAACATCAGGAATGATGCCACTGTCTTATATTTTTGTATTAGATAGGTGGTGCTCCATAGAGAGCGGGCTTGTTTCAAATTTCTGCTTGGATGGTGTGACTTATTTGAGAGGGGTCTCAATAGAGTGATAAATAAAGCCTTACAGTAAGCACAAATTATCACACCCAACTCCCAGTTCAAAGTAGAGATTACAATCTATTTATGAGTACTTACTCCTTTTTTCCATCTTTAAGAAGTTCTTTTGCAACTTGTCTTTCTCTCTCAAGATTTGTTGTGATCTGATGGAAGATATGACAGTATGTTAGTGACAAGGCTTTTATAACATTCTATCTTGGAAGCAAGTGCTGCTACAGTCCCAGAGACTTTCCATTGTTTCAAACAATAGGCTATTGTTCTACTCTTTAGACAAAGTCTTACAATTTTCTTTGAAAATACGACAAGTAGGAAATCATTCAGGCTTACTACACCCAAAAAATGCTACTCAAACAAAAAGAAAACAGGAATATTCATGAAATAGCTAGCTACATACTTTGTCTATTTAAAACTTTTTTTGACAAATTTGCAACATATAAAGGGGAAAGAAAGAGCAGCATCAAAGATTATAGTTGTTTGTAAGAAAGTTAAAGATATCAGAGAATATCACATGAGTATAAACATATTCAAGATTTTGCAGTAAATAAAATGTTATTTGATTTCTTCTACCCAGTAGTGTAGGTAGGGTGGTAAGATTGGGGGGGGGGCAATGTATAAGGTTTCTGCAGAAAAAAAATCTCATAAGAGCAACAAACTTTTAATGATTTACTGGGATGCACTTCCAGTTCTTTTCGTGAGCAAAATTATGTGTGTGTGGCAAATCGCACATGTAAACAAATTTGCATGTGCGATCGCACTTGTAAGAAAATTTGAAGTGCCAACTTGATAAAATTGGTAAAAGGAGCAAGAAAGGAATACATGCAAAAGCAAAACTCAATTCAATCAATGCATAACAGATTTTGTTGCCCATAGCAGCCATCTTTCAAAAGTCGTTGTCACTCTCCAAAGTTACAAGAGCAAATAAAAATTATTTTCAACAGCTACTTGCTTTCAGAGCACAATTACGTTTTGACAGGAAATCAGTTATTACACTTAACATGCTAATGGCGGCTTAGCTGAAAGACAAGACGCTAAGTTGAAAGGAGCATTCAGTCAAAAGCCAAACATCACTTCCAAAAGTTGGAAAAATCATATTGTGGTCAAAAGTGCTAATCAAGTAACGAGGGAAAAGGATAAACAATCATGAGACCATGGGAAATTAATATTAATAGAAAACTGCAAAAACACCTGTTTGCACTTGTGATGAAAAGCAAACGAAATTTAACTTGGGCATGCGCAGGCGTGTGCGGGTGCTATCGCACGCGCTAAACGAAAAGGACTGGCACTTCATATAATGACTGGCCTAAAAAGTTAAGTAAATGAACTTCAAGCAAATCAATTATGATGAGGAGGATGATGACATAATGATAACAGTTCCTTGATTCTGTTTGAGAGGTTATTTTGTAGGAACATTACCTAAGACAGGGGTGGGCAACCTACGGCCCGCGGCCAGAATCTAATAATTACACGAGATTAAATATATCATCTTATAATTTTTTTGAATAGCAAGGATGATTTTCGAGGGGTCGCAAATAATGAATTAAACATATCGATTCAAAATTAGATTATCTAATGTCTTCATCAAATTTGGGAATCATGGAAAGATTAGTTTACTATCTGTAAACAAGAATTCATCCTGCTTAAAGAAAGGACAGCAGAATCATTGAGGGACTGGGTGAAAGTTGACAAATGCAGCAAGGACGATTCCATTGGGCAGACTTGACCAGGGATCAGGGTTGTCCCTATTTTGTCATGTCTCAGTTGCCAGTGCCCCTGGGGCCTATATTAAATAATGTGAAGTGTAGAAAACCACTAAAACATCAAATAGTCGGCTGTAGACCGGTTTTACCCAAAATTAGGGCTGGTCAGTAAGGCTGAATGAAGACCCAATGCTGACCCAGGGCCAGCAACTAGGCTGTCCATGGCAATGCATGTGGGACAGTGGCAATGCATATGGGAGATAGTGTCAACATTAAGCATCTGTTTTTCAGCTCAGACCATTCACTTTGACATACGTAAACACCAAATTTTCCAATTATGAAGGTATGCATCAGTCTTCGAGATTTGACAGTCTCTTATTACCAAAAACCGCACCTCAGAGCAGTGCTGAAGTCCTAATTTTTTTCCTTTCCACTGGAAAGCTGGAGTGCTTTATGATTTTCTTAAAGAGACTGTAAAGATTCTAAAACTCATGCATACTTTCTATATTGGTAAATTTGGTTCATATGTGTATAAAAGTTAATGGTCTAAGCTAAAAGGTCGATGCTAAACCATGATTGGTGGATGATTCTTCAAACCCTGAATCACATCCTTTTTAATTTTGGTTGGTTATTTCAGTTTTCCCTTTTGAGCTAACGACTGTAACAGTTATTTCTATCATTGCAACTATCTTTGTAAAAGAGAAGTTTGTACTTTTAGTGTAGCTGAGTTAAAATGAAAGTTTTCATAACTATCATTATCGTTTTATTACAACTATCGATTTCATTCTTCTTATTGCCTTTGTCCCACCTAAAAAAGGTTTGAAGGATCTTGCCCAGTCCCCAAAATGGTTGCCCGCTTCTGATCCACAGCATCCCAGAGGTTACAGTTAAGAGGTTTATATAGTTAGGGAAAGCTTGCACCAGGAGAGACAGAGCTTTGATTTCCATCCGTAAAAAACAAAAAATCCCTTTTAGTAATCTTTATTTTACAAGTTGTTTGCAATCTTTGAAAATATGCAGACAGTGTCTTTTGAAATGGCAAATAAAAAAAGGCAATGGATGGTAAGAGAAAGGTTTTTGAAATAAAGTTCAAACTTACCTTTTTCTGGTATTGTTTCAATTTGTCTCTTTGATTTTTGAGTGACTGCAAGATAGAAACATAATTTAAGGTACAAGGTTGTATCAGATTCAAATTGCTTAAAACTCAAACCGAAGGACATCAAAACATTCTGAATAACAGGCCTTTTCATAAGAGCCTGTTACTTAGAATGTGCATTAGTGGCCTATGGCTCCTATGACTTCTTATTTGCGAGTGATCGCTCTGGGTAAGAAAACTAATAATAAATGAATTTCCATCCAAAAATAAATAAACATGCTGTTTTAATTTTATTTTTACAAATAATTTAAGATTATCCATAACTTTTGAAAATCTTCATATTAATTCAGTTCCTTATGCAGTCATTGACAGGCCTTTTCCTAAGAAAGACCAAGGTTTTCCTTTTGTAAAAGATAACCTATGTTTATAATGAAGGTCAACAATTCTAAAAGTGTCACTCCACAACATTGTAAAAAATACAATCTAATGATAGCATACTTTGGTATTAGATAACATTAAATAGAAATTGATGTTTCAATGATCCTTGATGCACCCCAAGAAAGATTAAATACCTAATATAAATGTGCTTCATTTAAAAAATTTTGCCTTCATCACCAAGATCATATAAAGCACCGATATCGCTTGTTTGGGTCACCAAAGATGTGTCTATTGTTGAAATATTTATTCATCACAATTAACCGTTTTGCCCAAGTGATCAAACATTTGTATGGTTGAGTTTGCATAATAAATTCCACTTAGAAAACAACCCTTTTTTAGAAAACAAATAACATCAATGAAAGTCTATTTGAAATGGAAATTTTTTTATTGAGATAAGAAACTTGCATAACACTGTGATTTTTGTCTTGTTTTCTGGTGTGAGGCTATTCTAGTGCTTAGGTATTAAAGATCATTTTTTTGACGCATTTGTCTGAGCATCCTCTTCTTTTCAAAGTCTAAATTATGGATTTGCCATCATTTCAAAAGAGGTATCATCCCTTGGTGAACAGCTACCCCAAAATTATCCAAACTTTATGGCAGGAGCGGACACTTGGTCAAATATTGGGGGGAAGCCTATTGTTTTAATATGATGAGGTCACATTTCTCATTGTTTAAGAATAAAAGGCCATTGTCCCCTAAAGTATTGGGGGCAGTCGCCCCTTGCCCTCAAGTGTCTTCCACTGCTGTATGGAGTAAATATCTTAACAGTTTTCTATCATAGACATTGTTATGATAATAATAGCTGACTTGCATTGCATTATGCTTACATTATACCTTATTTGGCCCTGTTAGAGAGTATTCCCTTTATTACTTGCTCTCCATTACCTTTATAGACCGACATGCCACAACACCTGACTTGTTTATTTGAGTCGGATAAATATTTGGAAATAGCATTTAATTGGAAAATAATCAGATTCAAAGGAAAACAAGAAATGTTAAATCAAACAACAAAGGCAGATTATAGAGAATATAGAGAATATAGAAATATAGAAAATATTAAATTGGTCTTCTAATAGATATTCAAGACTCCAGATACAGCTAATTTGCTGAGTAAATGAAATTTCAACATGCAAACAGCTAGTTTTCTTATGTTCTTGCCACACTGCAAAGTTTGGGAATGTGCACAATAATTTTTTCCTTATTCCGTCAGCGCATTTTTAAATATAGATTTATCCATGCAGTTGCAGCACAGAGGCTTAGAAATGCTATTTAAAATTGAAATCCAACAGCTTTTAACCTGCTATTGTGCAACATGGTTTGTTTCCACAGAAGCATAAGTGGCAGAAAACAATTCCCTGAACACAAAAAATACTTTTGCACTCTGGGGTTCTTGTTTGTACTACTGCATACAGCACATCAAATGCAAGGGATTCAGAATTTATTTTTACAAGAACAGTTTTGTTTCAAATTCTTATATTCACCTATTTATTTCTAGATATGGTTTATACCAATAGCAGTGAAAACCAATGGTTATCAAATTTTTGAGTTTTATCAGAATTTAGTTTGAAGTGCTGGACAGGACAAATATTGTGGTTTTTGTCGATTCTATGACAATAAAATTCGAAGTTGGCATGCAGTTTTCTGAACATCGCCTGGCATCACCAATTATTCCAGATGGGTATAATGGGACACAATGTTTGGGCCAACACAAAATGCAACTTGTGCATGTTTGTGTTTGTTGTAAAGGCCTAAGCCTGGTTTATTTTATCGAGGGCACTGATGGCAATATTAAGTACACTTTACCAGTATTGCTTTATCCTGTTCGGTTATCCTGTTAGCCTTCTTGGGCTGTTCCTTCCTAGAAAATAATCCACCCATTGCTTCCACCAGCCCACATGAAACAGAAAATCATTTCCTGACCATTTTGAACAGGTTCCTGTTATTCAGTTGCTGCCTCTCTTCCATTTCTTTGCCCGGATAGAGACCCACAGCAATTAGCAATTTTCTTTGTAACTGCACTAAACATGATTTATTTTTCATTGATTGCAAATGAAAACTTCATTATCATAAGAGAATTCAGAATGATAAAAGGAATTCTCATAAAACTCAACACATAACGACATAAACATGGCCCTAATTAGCAGCCCTAGACAGCAGACTGACTGGAACATTCGAAAGGTTTTTAGCCAAAATACAAAAGTGAAACTACAGGATGATGTCAATTGTGTATCTTTGATAAATATACTATACTTGCTTCTGTGTTGTGCATGTGATCTCAAGGTCACGATATGGAGCAGTGCTTCTTTGCTTTTTTTTATTGTGCAAGACAAGAAAAATTTTTTTGGGTCAATTTCTAGGCTAAAAATTATTTTTTGGGCTGATGGTTCGTACCCCCAGCCTGAGCACCCGACATATATATATATGAGAACTCCCCCTGGGAATCAAAGTGTCACTATAATTACAATGAAATGGTGAAAGCCCCCTCTAAAGTCTCTTCAAAAGTTCAATGTTTTCAAACAACATTAGGTAAACCAATAAATTTCCTTCTGTCGTGCCATCGGTTTCACGGGGAGATTCTTTTTCGTGACTCTATACACAGCACATCATGCAAAGTTTGGTTGCTATCCAAGAGTTACTTTTATGGGTCTAAAGTTTGACAAAACTTATTATTGGCTCAGTCAATTGGACAGTTACTTTTTGGGGGTCATTAAATTCCGACTTATTCTTTTAATCTTGAATATGAGAAAAACATGATTTACAAATGAAACATTGGCCACCGATTCACGATGTAGACTTCATAACCACAAGACTATTGAGAACGACATTAGTAGCACTCACAAAGCCAACTAGGTCAATATTATAGGGCCCTTAGACAGATGACTGACAGGAAACTTTGAAAAATTTGACCACAATCCTAAAATGAACCTTCAAAATGTACATTGTAAGACTGCATATATAATAAATACAGTGTACTTTGCAATTTATGGGCAAAGGCAAGACAAAGTTTTTTGGGTCAATTTTTATGCCAGAAATTATTTATTTGAAGTGATGTTTTGTGTCGCAGCCTGAGGAACTCTATTCTAAATGTAAACGAGTGCCCCCTCCCCCGCTAGGTTGCCATTAAGTGACGGGTAAATAGAGAGCCCCCTCCCAGCTCAACCACAGGGGTACCCTTTCTTAAATAAGGAAAGGTTTATTTCGATGTCTATAGCTAAATGTAATTAGTATGTAGGAAGTTTTTGTGAGCAGCTACCACACCCCTCTTGAAGTCCATTTATCTACTTCCTTCGTTTGCTGTTTGTCCATTACAGTTGCTTGAGCTTTCCGCAAATCTCCTTCAGTTCGTATTTTCAGAAAAACGCAGAGCATGAACCGATTCCATGCACGGTTTGTGGACCTATGAAAATGATGGTAAAAATGGACGACCCCTAACAGCAATAACTAACAGACCACCAAACAGAGTGCTTCCCTTCCATTATTTTAGGTAATTTAACTTTGATTTCTTCGGTTAATCAAGGTAAGTAACTTGCTCCAAAATACTATCAAATTCATTGTCTATAATTCATTGTCAAATTCATTGTCTAAGGGGATTCGATTCGTCATCGCGCGCAGGATGGTCGTGTTTAAAGGAGCTCTGATGTTTTTGGCTTGCGCACTTTTTCTTTATCGTTTTTCGGCCACATACTCGTTCCTGGATAGTGATTATAATGCTTGTTGTTCTTATGCTATCGTCGATTCACTGGGTAAAGGGAAAAAGCAATGGGTCAAATTTAAAGCATCCAAATCGTGCCGTAAAATTTTGGTGAAGTATCGGTGCAAATCTGTGCCTTCTCTCGCTTCTTTCTTGGTTTGGTGCTTGATTTTATCCGGTGATGTTGAACTCAACCCTGGTCCCACAACGAATAGCAGCAGCTCGTCCAAGTCAACCGATGCTTCGATTACTATGCCTGTATCAATTGATACCTCTAAAAAGGCTCTTCGTCATCCAATTTCGCATCTGAGCTTTCTGCCATTCATGAAGTTCTACAATGCTTAAAGGTGGGCCAAGAATCAATTCTCCATAATCAAAAGGCCATAATTTCTCGTGTCGATCTGGTTGAAAAGGAAATAAGAAAAGTTCAAAATTCTGTCGGGGAACTGGAATCAAGGCAAGTCAATTTTGAGAAAGACCTTGATTGTTTGAATTCTCATGTAAATGAAACAAATTCCCGTGTAAAGGATGCTGCTTTCGAACTTGATCGCCTGGAACAATATTCAAGAAAAAGCTCGGTGAGGATTCACAATGTTATCGAATCTGACGGGGAAAATGTCGAAGAGGTTGTCATCTCTCATTTAAAGACGGAGCTAAATGTGGAGATTACGGCTTCTGAAATTGATATCGTCCACCGTGTAGGACGACGCTTTGGAAAGTACCCACGTGCAATTTTGGTAAAGTTTCTTTCACACAAGTCGAAGGAACATATTATGAAAAAGAAAAAGGAAGCCAAGAGCATTAAAATAACAGAGGACCTCGCCCGTGGCATAAAAAGTATGCTTAATGAAATAAACGCTAATCGTGGACCCCTTAACATTGAGCGCGTATGGACTATTGACGGTCGTATAAAATATAAGCATTTCAACGACTCGTTCATTCACGAGGTACGTTCATACAACGATTTTTTCCGTCTTACAAACAGTGCATAGGGGGGTGGCCGAAATGGTCCTTTTATAAAAACTCACCACCGTTTTTCTAATTTTCATTTACATACACAATCAAATAGTTATCGTGCAATTCGTAATCTATATTCTATGCCAAAAAAGGTCAGTCACTCTGTTCCTAGCACATTACGGCTTTGCGCTTGGAATATCAACGGTTTAAAAAAGTTAAAAGTAGCCGAGGCATTTGGTGATCGTGACAATGATCTTTCTCAAGCTCTGGAAAATAATGATATTGTTTGTCTATCTGAAACATGGCGAGATCAAGGTGATCCCGAATTTCGTGATCTTAACGAAAACTTTTCTGTCTTCCATCAGTTGGGGTGCAGAACTTCTCGCTATGGGAGGTCTTCTGGCGGGATGTCTCTTTTCGTTCGTAACTCTCTGGCATCATGGTGCCATATTTTACAATCGGATGCATATCATTTTTGGTGTCGATTTGATAAAATTGCCTTTGGCCTTGCCGATGATCTCTTTGTTTGCTTTGTTTATATTCCACCGAGTGACTCAATTTGGTTTAAATCTGGCAGAAGCCTAAATTTTGATATCTTACAAGACGAATGTGCTAATTATGACGCAAAAGGATCTATCTTAATTCTTGGTGATTTCAATGGTAGAACTGGGACATTGCCAGATTTTATCGTAAATGATTCAGTAGACGATTTTCTACCGGTCGCTAATGATTACTCGCCAGACACTGCTCTAATTACTAGGCAATCTAGTGATAATACAATTAACCATAGCGGTCGATTGCTAATTGAATTCTGTAAAACTGCAGGCCTTCGGATCCTTAATGGCCGTACTGATAAAAACCGCTCATCACATTTTTCTTGTTTCACGTCCAATGGTAACAGCACAGTAGATTACGCTCTTGCAAATCAGAAAACATTTGGTCTGATTAGTGGCCTTAAAGTTGGGAACATGAGTAGCTTGTCCGATCATTCTCCTATTGAGATCTCAATTAAGCAACGTGTTAATTGTAATATTTCAACAGTTAGCTCTAGCAAGCCCGACAATGTATCTTCCTCGGCGGTTGATGTTCTTATGAGCAATTACACAAAACAATACATCCCCAGTGTTGATTCCCATCAGAAAATTAAACTTTTTATCGAAAATGATAATACCCTGGCTTTTCTGGAAAATTTGGAAACTGATCTTGATGACAAGTCCATTCCTGTTGGTCATACTGTTGCATTAATGCGCAAACATTTAACTCAAATTGCGGAAGGTTGTCTTAGAACTAAGAAAATTTTTTCTAGTAACGTACCGAAGAAAAAACATTTTGTTTGGTTTGATAACGAGTGTAAGTCCAGCAAAAAACTGCTAAGTACTTCACGTAAGGCCTTACAAGCAGCCCTGAGACTCAATAAACCTGACCCAATACGTTCTAATACTTTACATGAGGTTACAAATTAGAGAAAAAGAGACACAAAGCTCTTTTGAAAAGAAAACGCGCTTCCTACCTTACAAATGCGAAAGAAGAGCTTTGGCTGCTTAAAAATGAATGTCCAAAGCAGTTTTGGAAAAATCTTTCAATGTCATCTTCCAGTAAATCGTCAATAGATTTTTCAAATGAGCAAATCTATGCCTTTTTTAATGATCTTCTTAGTAAAAATACTCCTGTTTCTCCCCCTAAAAACCCAAGTCACTTTGCGGCTGCTGATGATTCCGGTAACGACTTATTCACTCTTATAGATTCTAAACTAAATGAACAAATTGATTTATTGGAAGTGAAGAATATGGTTGAAAAACTCAAATCTGGCAAAGCACCTGGTCTTGATTTGTTGAATGCTGAACTCTTCAAACATTTAAATGACCGTTATTTTACTCTCTTTGTTAAACTTTTTAATAAAATTCTAGATTCTGGTGACTTCCCAGAAGAATGGTCTGTAGGTGTCATTGTTTTGCTTTTTAAAGGTGGTGACACAAAATATCTTGACAACTATAGAGGGATTACCTTGCTTAGCATTTTCGGAAAGCTTTTCTTGGGTATTCTTCTAAACCGCCTGAATCAGACAGTGGAAGAGTTTAACATTCTCAAGGAGAATCAAATTGCTTATAGAAAATCATATCGAACCTCCGATCACATTTTTACGCTTCATGCTTTAATTGAGAACACATTTGCTAGTAAGAAAACTCTTTATTTATGCTTTGTGGATTTTAAGAAAGCTTTTGATTCCGTTGACTACAAAATTCTTATTGATACACTGTTGTCTTATGGTATTAATGGTAAAGTGTTAGATGTCATTAATTCCCTGTATGCAAAAGTTAAGTCCTGTGTAAGGGGCCAAGACAGCCTAACTAATCTATTTTCCTGCCATCGTGGTGTTAGGCAAGGTTGTTTGTTAAGTCCGTTGCTGTTCACTTTGTTTCTTAATGACTTAGACTCAAAGATTAATGCTGTGTCTACCGGTGTCAGATTGGGTGATGGAAATATCTGCACCCTTTTATATGCTGATGACTTAGTTTTATTAGCTAATTCTGCTGATGATCTGCAATCCCAGTTGAACGAGCTAAACCAGTTCTGCTTGTCCATTAATATGGAGATAAATACTTCCAAAACCAAGATAATGGTTATAAGAAAAAACAAGAAAAGATCTAAGGCATGCAAAATTTGGAAATTTGGTGATAAAGAGATCAAAGAATGCAATGAGTACAAATACCTTGGAGTTACTTTTAAATCTAATGGTTCCTTCAGTGCTCATGTTGATATAATTAAGCAAAAAGCTCAAAAATCTTACTTTGCTCTCTTATCCAAAAGCAACGAATGGGATGGTTTCAACCCAGGACTGTTTCTATTTTTATTTGACAGTACAATACTTCCTATTCTAAATTATGCCACTGACGTATGGGGATTTGGTACATGGGAATGCCTGGAAAAAATTCATCTTATGGCTTGCAAGTCAACCCTAGGTGTTAAAGGATCTACAACGTCTCTTGGGGTTTATGTGGAGTTGGGACGTTGTTCGTTGCTTGAACATAGACATATTAACATCTTAAAATTTTATATTCGTTTAATAAATCTTGATTCCTCCAGATATGCATACAGAGCTCTTCAAATGTTAATTAATGATGCAGATTCCGGTGTTTCTAATTGGGTCAGTATTGCCCGTTCCCTGATGACCCTTTACAGAATACATACAACCGATAACTCCACTATCGTGAAATCAAAAGTGTCTTCCCATTTTAGGTCAAAAATTATGGAAAATTTAAAAGAACAAGCTATTCTCAATAAAAAGCTTTGTACATACGCATCTTTCAAAACTGTTTATAAGTTTGAGCATTACTTAGACTTGATACCTAGCAAAAAGAAAAGATCCAACTTTGCAAAACTACGTCTCAGTGCCCACAACCTCAGGATTGAAACAGGTAGATACGGGAAGAATCCTATTCCTAGGATTGATAGAAAATGTACGTATTGTCAATCTTTTAATAAAACTGCTGTGGAGGACGAAATTCATTTTTTATTAGTTTGTCCCCTTTACGAGACTGCTAGGAATTCTATGTTATCTATGATTTATTCAAAATTTCCCAGAATATCATCCCTTGACCTTTGTGATAAGTTTATTTGGTTGATGAGTCAAGAAGATACGGATTGTCTGATATCGATAGCCAATTTTATATCGCTGGCTTTTGAGTCACGGGAATCTTTTGGGAAGTCCTCTACGTGCATATCCTCGTAACGTAAACTTTCCAGCTCGTCATCATTTTTTATCTGTTTATCTTTGTATTAGCTGTTTGCTGTTTTCTGAGATTTATTGTTAATTTGTAATTATGTTAACTTGTAAGTATAGTAATTCTGTTGGCTGTTTTCTGAGATTTATTGTTAAGCTGTACTTATGTTCTGAGTTTTATTATTAATTTGTAATTATGTCATCTTGTATGTATGGTAATAGTGTTGGCGATGGGCCATTTCGGCCTACAAGCCTTATAATAAAAAAAAAAAAAAATAATTATTAAAGGCAAATTTATATCCAATAATAGAAAATTTGATCCTTAACTAGAGGTTCTATATCTGTAAAATCAACCAGAAAAAAGTAGAGGGAAACGAAAAATTGCGATTTATAAACTGTCTTCAAAAATAACGTCGAATTTAGAAATTTACAATTACTTGACCTTAGTACATATAGCGTTAATTTTGCAAGCAAAGAAGACGAAATTGGAAAAAAATTTAGTAAGAAAAGTGCTGGGTTTAGATTCCTTTTGCATGCGTACAGAGTTCGTTTCAAAAGTTCTACCCCATCAGTTGAGTCGCTGACTTATATACACAATACAAAACTAACATTGAAAGATTTGCAAAATTATCAACCATATATATCAAGGATAGGCGTGAGAAGGTGAAACAGAAACGGCAAGAGCACTAAAGTTCTTCTATTTAGAAGCACTTCCTGTGGACGATTGATGGGCCAGATTCATCATATTCCTGCTTGGAGATCCACATCTGTTGGAAGGTGGAGAGTGAGGCCAAGATGGAACCTCCGATCCATACAGAGTACTTCCTCTCTGGTGGGGCAATGATCTTGATCTTCATGGTTGATGGTGCGAGGGCAGCAATTTCCTTCTGCATTCTGTCAGCAATACCTGGGAACATAGTCGTACCTCCAGACAAGACGGTGTTGGCATACAAGTCCTTACGGATGTCGACATCGCACTTCATGATGGAGTTGTATGTGGTCTCGTGGATACCGCTTGATTCCATACCAATGAATGAGGGTTGGAAGAGGGTCTCTGGGCACCTGAATCGTTCGTTGCCAATGGTGATCACCTGACCATCAGGAAGTTCGTAGCTCTTCTCCAAGCTTGAGCTGGTGGATGCAGTGAGCATTTCCTGTTCGAAGTCGAGGGCGACATAGCAGAGCTTCTCCTTAATGTCACGAACGATTTCACGTTCTGCGGTGGTGGTGAAAGAGTAGCCACGCTCGGTCAAGATCTTCATCAAGTAGTCAGTAAGATCACGTCCAGCCAAGTCGAGACGAATGATGGCGTGAGGAAGGGCGTAACCTTCGTAGATTGGGACAGTGTGGCTGACGCCATCACCAGAGTCGAGGACAATACCAGTGGTACGACCAGAGGCGTACAATGAGAGGACAGCCTGAATGGCGACGTACATTGCAGGGCTGTTGAAGGTTTCGAACATGATCTACAAAAAAACAAAAATATAGTTAAACAATTGTTTATTTACAGCTATAAAAATATCGTAAAACTTGTAATTGCACCCGAAAACCCTGCGCAAAAAACGCTGTCGAAAGACTTCAGAAACGCCCACACTATTGTTTACGGGAACAATAGAACGGGTGGCGTCTACATATGAAGAGGGCGTTGTCACATGGTAGGAGACTATTCGTCAAAATGTGGTCTTTGGCTGCCTTATAAATAAACAGAAATTGCCCCCTGACTAACGCTGATAAACATTTAGGAATTTTAACATGTTATTTGTAAAAAAACTGGGCTAACACAAAAACACTTCCCAAATGAAACATCTTCCTTTGCAAATTTCAGGTGGGTACTTCCGTCATGGGCGTTGGCCTAAAATATTTTTCCTCTGGACGTAAAAACGTAATAAGAACAGGGCCTATTAAACTGTTTGAAAAGCAGGCAAACAACGGTGACAAATCTTAATAGAGTTTCTTGCAGTCAGCGAAATTCTGGGCGTAGCCCTAAAAATTCATCATCACTCACCTGGGTCATCTTTTCTCTGTTGGCCTTTGGATTCAATGGAGCTTCTGTGAGAAGTACTGGGTGCTCCTCTGGTGCAACACGAAGTTCATTGTAGAAAGTGTGATGCCAGATCTATAAAACAAGGAGCAAAATTTTTCAGAACTCGGCCTAACATAAACTCCAACGAACAGTGAAATTTCTTGAAAGAATGAGCAGTTGATATAGCTAGATATATGTGTTGAAAGGATTTACCTTCTCCATATCGTCCCAGTTAGTGACAATTCCGTGTTCAATTGGGTATTTCAAGGTAAGGATACCTCTCTTGCTCTGGGCTTCATCACCAACATATGAATCCTTCTGTCCCATACCAACCATGACACCTTGATGTCTTGGCCTTCCTACGATGGATGGGAAAACGGCCCTAGGAGCGTCGTCTCCAGCGAAACCAGCTTTGCACATACCAGATCCATTGTCAATGACAAGAGCTGCAACATCTTCATCACCCATGTTGATAGATTTTGTGTTTAACTAAAGTCGACGAGTAGTACTAAATAGTCTGTGACCTGACCGTTTCGAAGTTTCACTTCAAATAGGATGATCTAAGGTTGTGCACGGCGATATCTATAGGATGGCCATGTGAAAAAGTTGTCGTGCGTATGACCATATAAGGTAATTTCCTGTAGCTGATCCTATTGTTTGTTTACGCACCATGTTTTACATACCTAACAAGGATGTAACGGTCGGCCTTCTGCACTCACTCAAAAGGGTCATCCCCATCTAATGAATTGGCGTACTCTGATTGGACAGCTTAAAAATTTCGCCTTTCTTATTGGCTTAGTCAACAAATGATTGACTTTCAAAATTCTTTCTCAATACAGGTGCTTTCGACACAGCCACATCAAACAATACGTTCGTGGTGAATAGCCGCCCTTTGTTAGGCCACTGCCCACAAGGAAATCGTTCTGCTTTTCAAGGGTCATTTGTTTGCTTGAAAACAAAAGCTCAAGCAACAAGTTCATTTTTTAGCTTGGACATTTCCGCTAGGTAGCGTTTTGTTGAAAAACCAACAAGGGTTTGCAGAAAAATAATTCCTAAATTCTGCAAATTTTCCATGGATTGAAACAATTATACTCATTTATTTGGCTTTGAAAACAAAAGGTTATTCCTGGATTATCTTTACAAATGCAACCAATCCTAAGAATTTTCTCCTCCTTATTTCCAAATCGACTAATTTAATTTCGTTTGTTAAAGGGCTCAATCGACTCTTCAAATCCAAAAAGAGTCTTTACTCCGCGAAATCCTTCTTGATTTATACTTTCCGAAATCTCTAGACAAAGTATTGATTTTTCAAGATAGGCCTATGATGTGGTTTTCAAAATAAAGAGGGAAAATATATGAAAACTGAAAAAATCAGTTTTAACTAGTAGCTATATTTTAATGGCTCGCAGATGTATTATTTCATTAAAATATGTTCTTTTTCAATCTTGTTGATCTTACCTCAAATTTATTTTTCGCGTCCGATATAAGTACAGTATTTCCTTGTTGATCGTATCAAATATCTACTATAAGGGGCTGGGGGCCAGGGGTGCGGCTATGGTTGAAAGCCTTGAGAAATGAACAGGACTTGCGTCGCTTGCTGTCTGAAAGGAGAATGCCCCACATGACGATTTCCTGAACCTTTCTTTCAGTTTTTTGGCACGAAATTACCCTAGATTTTCTGTTATATTGTAACGTTCGTGTGGTTACGTTGACAATTTTGAAGGTCAAAGTGCTAATCGGTGGACTAAACACACTCAAACAATCACAAAACATTTGCACAAGACCAAGCGGCAGAAATTTGGCGTTCCTTCATGGTAGTATTTAATTTGACAACAGGTGTAAATCGAGTCCAGCAATTTTCTTGCCAAATCATTTGGTCTCAGATATTTTGTAAACGTTTATAGCAGTTTAAAACAAGTGAATGAAAACTGCCTAAAACCCTCATTTCCATACGAACTAGCAAAATGTTTGGGCCTAAATCGGAATGTTTCCTTTCTGGAAACAACACGACATCATGCATGGAATGTCTTCATCAAAACAGCATGAGAGTTAAACTCCGTTATCTCGCCATGTTACCAGACGAAAACACATTGTTTGTGCGATAAACACAAAAATCACAAGATCTCGTCAACTTTCCTTCCCTCTAGAGCCATGCTGTGAGAGGTAATTTCTTCGAAAGAAGCGATGAATAAGCCAGTGTGATGGAAGGTGTGTCCAAATAATGGGCGTTTCTACACAAAAGGTTCTCTATTGCTTTGTGTTGTTGCCTTTATAAGGCATGTCAGATACCAGAATAATTGCCCAATGAAAGGTGAAACAAAACTCAAAATAATTCCTTAATAGATTCTCTAAAGCAAAAATATGGGAGGGTAAAGCCTTTGTTTTTTGACATTCCTTTTCCGAATTGGCAAGAAGTATCCGGTCGCCCTACCAGTGCTAGAAATACACAACCAATGGCTGCCATATCCAGAAATGTTCGGCTTCAAGACTATTTTGCAATACCACGAACAAATTGCATTTCAGAACAGATTAATTTGGTAACACGTTTCAAGCCATGGTTGTCAAAAGTAAATTATAAGATGTAGCTTGGCAAAGGATTCCTTGCGAATGTTCGTTAAAAAATATATTTTCTGACAGAAGCCTGAAATTTCAGTTGCCTTTTCTGAAACAAAATCCCTTTTCAACCTCTGCATATGGGAAATTGGGATGTAACTAAAATTATTTCAAACGATGCTGTATAGAGGTATCAAAATTTACATTTTCCGGGAAATTAAGTTTCTGCAATGGATATGTAGTTGCTGGGAACTCTGTTAACCCACTCACGACTTCTAAAATCGTCATTTGATGGGGACGCCAGCAGAAGGGACATAGGTGGAAAAATTGATATAGCCTTAAGCAGGACTAGGAGGGCCCCCAGTCATAAGTGACGTTGCTGAAGGATGTAAGCATGAAGGGCAATGACTGAAGTGCAATTTTTTGGCTACAGCGTTTTAATTGGAGTTCTAGAGGGTTTTCTTTGCTTCTATGTGTTCCCGACTATAAAAGGGCTGTGGAATGGAGTATTGAAACGGTTTGGAACAAATATCCTTATTCTTTGTCGGCATTTTGATATGTGTTATTAATCTAATCTACAAACATTCAAAGGCAGAATCGAGTAAAGATGGAACAAAACTCAAATTATTTCAGAAACACAAAAGCTTACCAACAAAGAAGCACAAGGAAGGTTACAGGCATGATGTCCCATTTGTGGAGGTTCTTTCTGAATAAAACGTGTTGCGAAGTTTGTGTGTATTATCCGAAAAATTATGAAAGTTAAAACCCCCACAACTGTACTGCATCGCCCCCTATAAATCCCAGTATGCCATATTCAAACAAGTATTAAGTGCCTTGTTAGATAGAAAAATAATTATCATTATTTACTTTAATGAGTGCATGTGCCTTTACGGTGTGACGTACCTTCTGAAGTCATCACAAACCCAGCGAGGCACCATCTTCTAAACGTCGCCATTGATCCATCTGGCAACACCCTTTTTGGCCTCTGTACCTCTGTACAACATTACCTTATCTATAATGCTATGAGCCGCGAATGTTGTATTAGAAATGCTACGTTTCGGGCCTCATTCTTTAAAGGATCTAGATTCAATTTTTATAGATAACTAAACAATAATGTTGCTTTGTTTGTGGACATCTAAGCAAATTTTCAACTTTGGTGTAAGAAACACAACAAAATCAAGAGAATTAGCACTCAATAAATAAAACCATAGGAACCACTAGCTGTTTGGCGAAACTCTCAATAATTTGTTTGCATTTCTTCGAACCCTGCTTCAAACGCCCTCCTGGCATATGAAATTCCTAGTTTGGGTGAATGTTTGAAGGAGTGTCTCACATAATAGCATTACCCTCTCTCCCAAATTGAGGTCTATTTAAGGAAAAATTTTCATCCATATGGCACTTTGCAAAGAATTAGCATTCGTCTTATTGTGTCAAGTCAAAAGATAAGAGGGAACCTTTTGTCTGGGGTAGGCCGATCGTGAGCCGCAATAAAAAGGATTTTCTTATAACAACAGCGAAATCCCCTTAAATCCATGATTCTTATGAAGATTAACAACCATTCAGTCCGTTGAATCTGGTGATCATGCCCAAATATGGAGCAAGGAAAACATGGTAGTAGGTCGAATGGGCGGTGGTGAATATTCACCTTGAATTAATGATAAAATAACAAAGGAGTTCATCGTTTGAATCTAGAATTAACAAGACTCAGAAAAACGAGAGAGAAAACAAAAAATGCACCATACTTCAACTGCAAGATCATATAAATTGTCTACAAGATGCAATTGATAACATAATTGGTATAACTCTATATATTTATATTAAATAAAAAATCAAAAGCATAATTCAAGGCGAATATTGACTTGAAACAGATCTGGGATCTGCGAACATTACACAAAAAATTCACTCTGTTGGTTGCCAGAAACAGCAATAACTCGGTTTGAAAACCAATTTTTCTTCCAATTAAATGGGGTTACAGAAAAAATCCAGCTATATTGGTTGCTTTATTGGTTGCTGAAATCTTCAGCCGTCAAACCTCAATCAAAAAACTGTTTTTAAGACCACGAACTTCATGTTGACTTGCATTCTGATTTCTTAAAACAAAACATTATCAGTTAAATTCAACGTCATAGTTAACAGATTATTCACTGCTTCAGGCAACCCATTAAGACATAGTCACTAACACTTTCTTTTTTCCTAACTTGCGTCAATAAGTAAATGTGTCCGCCGTTTTGGTGACTGGACGCAAGCAAAAAACGACAATCGAACACACAACTCTATAGATGATGATAATTAAGTTTGCTGTACATCGTTGATCAGTAAAAGAGTTCTCTTATTTTCAAGACATTTATCAATAACAAAACCTGAAGGAGCCGGGTGGAAATACGGTATCATAACTGGAGGTGGGGGTGGGGGTGGGATGGGGGTGGGGATGTGAAAACAGACATTATGGATAGGGCTGAAATAAATACCTAATTTCTTTCAACGCGACATCATACATCTTTTACTCATAATGTTCTTTAAAACATGCTAAGATTTGAAGTTTATTTCAGTTGGACTGATACTCCTGAACATGTTTTTGCAAATAATACAAAGGTATAAGGGGGGGGGGGGCTAAAATCAGGCTGCAACCCTAATGTCTAAAAAATTTTCAAAATGAACAGTCAGTAGAACAAAAAGATCAATGGGAAAGATTGGGAAATACAGAGGGTCATCATTCCAGTTTTTTGCTCGCCTTTCTATGATAAAGGATGTGTCTTCATACAAAACGATTATCTTTTAGTTAGGGTTGTGAAAATTACGTGTAAAAAGAGGGTTGTTTATTGAAGGTATGACATAAAACCTTCAGGGCAAGTTAAGGAGTACAAAAATCAACTTATTAGACACCCTAAAATGGGATAGCCAATGACAGGGACGCAATGAAGATCGAGATTCTAAATATGTTGATAACATTATGAGAGTAAAACCTATCAGAAAAATACTTAAAGGGACTAAAAAAATTACCCCCAGGGGTTGCCAAAAAACCAAAAGTGCATATAGTTTATTAATTATTATATATAACATTAATCAAAGAAAATATCAAATCAATTCCTTGTTTAATTTATATATATATAAATGTATAAAAAATTTGTAGCATTAACTAATAATTTCGAAAAGAGGAATTGCGCTATATTCATTATACAGCCCCCTCCCTTTGAAAAGCTTCCACAAAAACTTGAATTTTCAAATATCTACAGCAAGAAGCTTTATCAATGAACTAAGGTACTTTCTCAAAGAATATGAAAGAAATGCTGATCAGCCAAAAGCAACCATTCTAATTGAAAACAACTAAAATTCTATACAGAAATAAGTTCAATTCAACGATCTTGCAGATTGTGCTACAAGGCAAGCAGGCTAGAATAAACTGCTAGAATACTGCAGAGATTGAAGAATATCACGTTGAGTGGATACGTGAGTTTTATCAAAATACGAGGGCAATTAGCTCATATGAAAGACGGGGCGCGTGTGATTGGATCAAAAAGTAAAGGAGACGATTGTTTCTGCATGTATATCGATGATAGCGGTGGTGGGGCGGGAAGAGATAACAGATTCCAGGGGGAGAAAGGGGTTCTGGAGATAACTTTATGCACCGAATGTTTTAATATCTTCCTCTTGGGACAGTCAGCTACGCCATTTTCAGGCTACTGGCCAACCGCGATGCAGGCTTTCGGCCTCTGCTGTATTCTAGCAAGTCAAGTGTATATAAACAGAAGATATCCTTGCAAGATAAAAGATGTTTAGATCTAAATATTCCCTTTCTTCAAATATCAAGAACGGCGAATAAGATATGGCCACGTACTAGGCACACTACTAGCTGAGTTGCTATGAGATTGGAAGATTTTTATCCACACAATGTTTAAACCTCAAGATTGATATACACGCTCAATTCATTTTCACATTCGCTTTAAGAGCCTTGCAGCAAATGTGTGGCCCTTTTCTTCCTGGCTTGCAACATCTCGTAGAAAGGATCTCTTGTTATGCTATTGCTAAAGAAAGAGGAGAGTTCACTTACAATTTGCTGGCAACAAGGCTAAACAAAAGGGTAGGACAATTTTCAATAATATGAATAACAAATATAAAATGACGTTTACTTGGCAGCAAAAGCCTTGTATTCAAGCATTAAAATGTTTTCTAGGCAAAAGTAAATGTTTCTTCTCGGTTGTTTTTTCCACAATGTTGCAGCTGACATGCAGTTAATTAAACCGTATTACAAATAAAAAAGTTAATGTTATTTGCGGATATAACCGTGGTATTGAGAAACTGGCTGACATCAAACTTGAATCAGGGATGCCACATTCCCACAATCAACTAAAGCCCGGACTGAGAGTTATTCAAAAATAATTTTCTGCAGTACAATGAATTACGAAACTAATCTTTATTAATAGTGTATTTTTATTGCAGTCACTCATATGCTTTGATGTTATGAGATGTTGTTGGAAGCAAAACATATTTTGTTGCTACGATTGTTTTCACTTTGAATAAAGAAATGACACTTGCCAAAATACGAAGGGTTAGGTACACGCTCAAAGGGGCCAAACAAAGTTAAACAACCTGCCCCGAAAGATGCGAGTGGGAATGGTAACGTATCGGATTACAGGACTATCACTCTCGGGAAACATTCAAGCCCCTAACCCCCCTCCCCCCACATTGCTATGTATTGTCGATGAAGGGATATGTATATTATAAAAAGTCTGAAAGCAAGTCAACATGTTTGATAATTATTGACTGTAGTGCAGATACATGGGTTAAGAGATTGAACTCGAGAGACCTCGAATGATCAAGCTCCACAACTAAATAGCATTGTAACAACTATTTTAAACCATGACTACTCTTATTATTCCTATTGCTTTGTCTCTAGGCATGTGATACCATTTTGGTTCAGGGCAGTAACATATATAAAAAAATGGATTCTTGTTGTTGAAACAAGATGATAACTTCATTACAATTTCGTTGTATTTCCTCAGTATAATTTCTCTTAAAATCCACTGGCAACTTCTTAGGCTATTTATTTCCCAGAAAATCGAACAATTAGATATGCGACATCAAAGTACCATGAGCTTGGGACTCAAAGTCACCCCGAAAGATAGGTCATGTGATTAGGCCCATAGACGTAGTAACCCCCCCCCCCCTCCTCCCCAAACTTCAAAAACAAAGATATAGTGTCTACTTGCGTCCACCTTTCGAAATGCTTCCCATGTCTATGGTTAGGCCCTTCGCCGACGCCAAAGGATTCTGATCAATCGATACGAAATGACATTTGGTTTCAGCGGCTCTATTATCTACCAGAGCCAGGCCACAAAAATTCCAAGCTTCTTATGGACTCCACAGAATTCAACCCAATATTATTCTTATATCAAAGGAGTATATCTCACTTACGTTATATCTATAATCCAATTTTCTCTCTCGTCGGCAGATGATGCGCAAATTCTGTAACTATCGTGGTGACCTGGAGAAAATTTGATGCAAATGAAGGGAAATGACCTTACAATTCTTGTAAACTGTAAAGGTGGTGGCGTAGTCAAACTTTAACTGGCAGGGTAAAAATGAAAGAAAAGATGTGGAAAACGTGGATACCAAGGAAATCTGTTGGGATAATGCCCTTTGAAACGTCAGGAAAATGTACTCTCATTCATAATGATAAAAGAGTTAATACTCCAAATTACTACAAAGACCTTGCTCCCCCCCCCCTCCACATCCACTTTAAATTTTCACATCGGATTTAGAAGAATCATGTGGACCATTTTGGCTGACCAGAAAAGAAGCAACTGACCTATTTGCCCCTCCGTCTTGGCTAGGCCATTGAAGATTCACTGACGGTGGATGATTCTACAACCTTGGCCAGGCCACGTTGTGATGTCCTCACCCCAGCCCCCCAGCGCAATGTTAATATATTTGCTATAAAAAAAGCATGCACCCCAACTTTGAATGGGGGCAGGGTGGTAGACGTTGGACTTTGCAGGCATGCTATCTGGCTGAAGCTCAAGATATTTAAATATAATGGCATCTAAAAATTGATAAGATCCAAAGTAATACAAAGCAGCTGGTCAAGAGCAAATATTTACTACCCACCAACGACGACTTTGCCATCTGAGTCTGTTTTGCATGCTTTGATAACGGAACCACTGTTTGGTGCATAAATCTCAAAGCAGAACTGCAAAAATAAACACAACACAGGCATAACATGAAAGACATAACACAGTATGATTATCAAGAAGAAAAGTAACAGACGGCGTTGGAAAAACATTCTCAGGACATGTATTTGAAGACTGGGACACCTCGCAAGGAAAAAAACAGCGACACGTAGACTAGCATAACAACAAATCACCTGAAAGACAGCAGGGATATCGATTGGTCTCTAAACAGCCTTATTCTCTCACAACCTTTTCATAACTTCTTCTCAAGACATCCTCCTTGTCAAGATCAAGTTATGTGATTTTTAGTTTTTAATGGATGCTTGAAAGGTTGATAGTTTTAAGTAAAATATGTACTGTTTGCTCCATCTGATGTGTACTGGACAAAACCTGTCTACACAAATTTTATATAACATAGAATTCTGTAAAAAATAGCTGAGAATTAAGAAAATAATCTCAAAATAATGCAAGGCTCAAGCTTCACCAAGAACTAAATTTTTGCTTTTTTCGAAAGCAAATCAAATGCGAGTTTCACGCTATATGTTTTGAAATAGACGTAACCGCCCTTGGGGTCATTAAAACTATAATGCGACTCAGTCACACCTTGTGTCGCTTAAGAACATAAAGAATAAAGGGACTCAGTAAAAATTAGATATTCTTATAAAACTTTTCGCACGAAAAAGCAAGAACATGGAATATCAAAGCACAGTGTTTCATTGGGATTTCATGAGTTGAAATGTTTGGTTGCAAACCTTTCGTTTTATTTCATTGCATTCTTTGACTCGAAGATTTTCAAGTGGTATGATCCCTCTTGGTTCTTTGTCCTGGGTGAAAAATTAAACATTTTTATGATTGATGTAATTCCGTAGTAATAGCCATGCTTTGTACAACAAAAACAAATCAGCAATAAAAACACAATTCCCGATAACAAACTGTGTCGTCAAAATTTCAGCCATGAAAGAGACAAAAAATGATAACAGCTTTATTGCTCATGGTTCACAGAAAAGAACGAATCATTGCGAAAATTTATTGCTCGTTAACACTTAGCTCAGCATTAGACACGTTACTAAATCTGACGGTTAATAACTCACGGAGCATAAGCTCGAAATAATCTAGAAGCATTGGAGAGGAATACACTATTCCTTGATTTTTTAGCCGGCACGAAAAGTGCACTTAGGGTTAAAAAATATTTTCTAAAAGTTTGAAAAGGCATTTTTATTTCTATGGCTTTTTGTAAGACATGTTAACTTGTTTAATATCTTCTTAGATAATGTAATCTTGTGTTATCTAATTTTAACAAAACAAAACAGACTTAATCTACAAAACAACTGTGATACTAAAAACGTCTCAAAAACAATTGGTAGTGTGTAGTTGTAAAAAAAATCAGTTTTCAAGAAAAGGATCAAGTTTTAAGAATAAAAACAACATTATTCTCGAGCCTCTAACACTCGAGCCTCTTATTTTGGAAAAAAATGAGACTATTAAATGAGACTATTAAACCTCAAGCAAAATTATCCGGTTAAATGTAGAAAATAAGTGAAATGAAAAAAAAGGAAAAACATTTTGCATGTTAAAATCAGATCCTTGCAGGTAAGTTACAAAAAACAACAAGTTTAATAAAAATCAGACCTGGATCAAAAGCATAATATTTCGGAGAAAAAACTTTGTCTGCCAAGCAACCTAATTTGTTTTCCTCGACCGTACTACCTCAAAACACAATTATTTAAATTGTTATAAACTGTCATAAAATGCGTATAAGTGGTTTAAATTTTCACCAGGGAATATTCTGACACACCACAACAGTCAATTATTGAGTCGTAAACTTTTCCTTGGTGGGGAGTCACCAAATTTTTCTATGACTGTGTATTCAATTATTAATTCTGATACGAAACTAGAATATTTGTCGTGAATAGAAAAGTGAAGACCTCACAACCAAAAATGTCATTTTCTTAACCTTATAAGGAGGGTATTTCGAATATTTGACTTCTCTACATAAAACTGTTATGCTGGCTATTTTTAGAGACTAAGGTTACGGGGAAGTTGAATTATTGATTGGTGGTGACTCAAAAGTGGAATCACCCTGACGGAGGTTAGTCACGCATTACCAATTGAATAAGGGCTGGTGGTATCAAAGAAAACCTATATTTAGAACAATGATATCTCTTCTACAAATCTTTAATTATTCCAATATATTGACGAAAGCTGTTTTTTACAGAATAATATGTAGCCATAGCTTTGGCAAAAGTGAAAATATCGTGAACAAAGCTATCAACATTTTAACTCAAAAAAGGGGCACGTTAAGTTGCAAATTTTTCAATCAAGGGTTTGGCCTCAACACTTCGAAAGCGGGGGATTTCTGATCTCAGGGGCACGAGAAAGAAAACGTTACACTGAATTATTTTATAAGGTGGCTAAATTGTACCTTTATAGAGTACAAAAATGCGGTTTAACTTTCAGTTTGTTCGATTCCCAAAAAAAGTTTTTAAACAGAAATATGTACCTTAAGCATTACTCAGTTGATCAAATAATCCATCGCCCATAAAAATAGAGTTTGTTCAACGATGCAAGTTGCCTGCTTAATAGCGAAAGATTGATAATGGAATAAATACCTGAGAAAACTTCAATGTAGGGGATAAACTGGATAAAATTATGAAAGGCAGAGAAGAGCCTTCTTCTAACAAGATGATAACAGAGGGTAAAGCTTACTGGAGAGCGAAACTAAGATATTTGATATATGCTTTTACTAGTATCAAAGATGTTTGCATCTGCTTCAATCAGTGGCGGAAAATCATTGTCCAGTTGGAGGCAATGCCCACAAAAACAATTAAATTTGCCGACAAACGACATTATCTATCGACAAAAGCGCGCTTAACCGACAATTAACCGACAGTTTAGCAAAACCTGGAGCACTTGCTTCCCACACCCTGGCTTAAATTGTCGCCCTGGATCAATTGCACAGAACGAAATATAATTCAACGTATTCTACGTCCTTTTCTCCACCGGGCGTTCATAGAGTTGTGGCAAAGGTATATGTACTTTGCATAATGCTATGAGGCCTTTCCGATTTCTTTTAATTGTTTCCCGATATCACTGTAATTAGTATCGATAAATTCACCTAATACTGAACGTACTCAAGCCGGTTCTTCGCTGCCTTTTCCGGATGTTCTTTCGTACATTACTTGACAAAATGAGCCGAGCTCGGTACTATGCCGAGTAACGTGGCCAAAACATAAACAGCATCCACAACCATGATGTTGTCCATATTGTGATTTCTGCTCCAGTTCTATTCCAGGATTCTCTCATTCATGTTTAGTCATTAAGAATGGATTACTTTAAGAAGACTAATTCATGAGAGAATCCATGAAGAAAAGTTAGCAGGACTTAGGGTTCATATGCAGATTGGAATAAAACAACCTTTAAAATCTCCGCATCCAACTATACTATAAGCTGTTAAGCGAGCCAGGCAGTTAGCAGTTCGATTACCATTTTGAGTTATATTACACCTGAAAAGATCGCATCACAGGAAATGTCGCTTTATAAAAACGATTTTTTCTCAAGCCTCGAAAAGCCTACAGTCTATTCGTGACTGGGCGGGTTCTTCATACTTTTGAATGTGAACAAACTATTAGCGATTTTCGAATTTTTTAAAAATTTCTCAACACTCCTTATAAAGATGCAAGCTGTGTCAATAAGCGAAAACTTTGAACATTAACATCCGAGGCTGCTTGATTGTTCAGTCGTACTAAAAACATAAAATAAATTGAATTTTTACAGGTCCACTTAGCTTGGATGTAACTTACATTAAAAGTAAATAAAGGCCTTAATGGCACTCCTTAAGAGAAGCAAAACTGAACAGAATTTGGATCGGAGGGGCAGCTGCATCATCCAATCTATTTGCCATTTGCAGAAGTTCAAAGTGATATATGACCTCGCTTTCAGATGCGGACCCAGGAATATGAGGCCGATGAAAGAAAAAATATATTTTACATTTTGTGCAGAAAATTTTGCAAAAGGCGTAGCCAATGCAATTAAAAGCATATTTTTATGTCGCCACAAAATGCAGCTTCGATGTCAGATAAGTCCTGGTGTCTTAGAGGTAATCGTCCCCAGCCCTACCCCAAAGGTTTACGTCACTGCTTGGTCAATAAAGAAAATGAGATGGTCTCAGACTGTGATGATCTCTCCATTTATTTTAATATTCTCTCTTGTTGTGCTTTATTACATTGCAATTTCTAACAAAATGCGCATTGTTGACCCAAAAGTCTTGGTAACATATTCACAGTAGTACAATTGTTAGCCCTATGACGTGATACAAGGAGCTTATTTACTGACTAATTCTTGGAAAATAAAATAAGGAATTACAAGAAGATAACGCTCCGTTGATGCCTGTTTATCGACTGATACCCGTTCAGATTCAACAAGCATTGTTTTATGGCTGGGATAATCACTACATCGCCATACTAAATGATAAAATCCATCACAAGCAATATACTTGAGGTATGATATCTAGGTGTGATAATATCTAAAGGATGATAAATAATACTGGGTCCACGTCAACATCATGACGCCAATTATGGACAATTTTAAATAGTTTTTACCCAACTTTTAAAAACGAACTGTGATAAACATCCTGATTAAAGCCAAAAACTTCCTTGCCAAGAGGGAAAATAAAGTTAAAAATAGATCAAATTAGCTAGAAGAAAAAAATTATGAGCCTGGATCACAATGTAACAGAATTCATATAATTTCTGAGTAAGCGATTATTGAAATAAATACATAATTTAAACCAAGCACTTGGGTATCATAACCCCATAGCCCCCACCCTCTCCAATTAAACAGCCTTTCCCCAACCTATTTAGCAAAGTGATACACAATAAATAACTCACCCCTTTATTCTTGAAATAGTATAGACAGTTGTCTTTAAGGATGAAATACCGCGGCTTCCATGTTTTGTGAAGTCCACCTGAAAAATTTACACCACGTGAACACGACAACTGCAAGATTTTGATAAACGGATAAAAGCTATGAAAATGATCACAAAATACCTTCTGTTCAAGCCCACAATCCCTTCATAGTCGCAATAGAGCGGTTAATTTGAGGTGAATTTGAGCTATTAGCCTAAGATAACTGAAATGGAACATGAAACCCAGCTTATCAAAACAGATGGTATGAGAGACTTCAATTTTTTACCGGCTCACGCGATTCACAACGACAACGGCATTGAAGAAATTGCAGTCGTTACTATTTTAGACTTCAGAATCTACCACAACATACTCAAGGGATGTCCTCAGAATGGAAAGAATTTCGAAGTTTATGGCGTTCTTTATTTTTAATTCAGAAGGCAGCAGTATTTTCTCTCAAAAATAAGCTGTAAGAGGAGGGGGTGTAAGTTAAAACCTAAAAGATACGAGAAACAGGATAGGGTAACATGGAGGAGAAGAGTCAGGGGCACAGTCATTTTTTTAAGAGGTAGTATCACCTGCCAGACTGGTAGACAAATATGATCTAATGTGGGGAACTGCTAACCGGCCTGTTATACCGTGATCGATTCAATATTAGCAGAGCTTTCCACAAATTGAACTCAGAACGGTCCTGTTCCTAAAACCAAAACAGGAACATAAAGGGGCGTATCAAAGAGAGTGTGGGGAGCTAAGACACACGACAATTCAACCTTTTGAACAAATGTCACGGTGTAAATTTCGCAATTCATTTGTTTATTTCTGCTGGTGGCAGAAGTCACGTGAATCTTTCCTATAGATGACAAGCCTCCTTATTCTTCAACTGCTTTATGCAATACAAGAACTTTCCAAAAACACTGTCCTGTGCCCAGGGACGTAACTATTGGGGGGGGGTTTCCCCCCCCCCCCCCCCAATCCTGAAAAACAGCATTTTGCAGGGCAAAGCAGAAGGAATTAGTAGTTCTCGCAGGGCAAAAGAGATTAGAAATCAAGTTTCACAAAATATCTTAATTCACTTTACTTTCTTATCAAATCCAAAACATATGTTAGTTTTTCCGATTTGTTGTGGTATTGTAAAGTTGATGAGTACTCCTTGAAACTCCGCAACATGTCTAAAACGATATGGGTCTACTCTTCAGAGTCGATGGAAGCAGTGTGGCGAAGTTTACAAAGCATACTCAAAGCAATTGAAAAAGTTGTCAGTGACGACAGCACAGAAATGAAGGGTAAAAGTGAAGGGTAAAGACATAAAGAAAAAGTGTCTGTCATTTGACTTTCTTTTTGCACTGATGTTCATGAGATTAATTATGAAGAAAACAAAGATTTTGACGATGCAACTCCAAGCAGAAGAGCTTAACATCCTAGATGCGATGAAGTTAATTGAAGCAACAGTAGAAAATCTTAAGAAGATTCGCATTGATAACAAGGCTATGGATGAAGAGTTGGATGCTCTAAACGAGTGCGCTAAACAGCATGGAATAGATTCAGCGGCTGAGTTTAGTGGAAATATCGACTCAGGTTGCAGCCAAGAAAGATTGACAACGGCCCAGAAACATCAGCGGAATTTAAATTTAATTCCTTCTACAGAACAGAAATGTGTGTTGTTCTCGATTCTCTGATAGCAGAGTATGGTGAAAATATCAAGGCATGCTTAAAAAAAATTGAGCCATTGGCAATGGCGTTGCAGCCACCACTCAAAACGATAAACCCAGAAACAGTCCACGATCTTTGAAAGCTTTTCCCACCAGGCTTTCATATTGAAGCAGGGGTTATATTATGTGAGCTAGATGTTTTTAAGTCAATGATTGAACAGCAACAGATCCAGCCAACTTCCGTCAAAGAGGCTGCCAAATTTTCATATGAAAACAGACGACTTTTCCCAACGGTTTACAAATGCTACAGCCTTCTTCTTACAGCACCTGTGTCTGTGGCTAAAGACGAGCGAACCTTTAGCAAACTTAAGATTGTTAAAAATTTGCTGCGATCAAGGATAAAAGATGAACGATTGAATGATCTCATTCTACTTGCTTGTGAGAAAGACCTAACAGACACTATCCCACTTGATAAAGTATTAAAAGTATGGCATGAAAAAAAATGAGAAGAATTTCAATTAAGTAAATTAGTGTGAAAGTAGACTAATTATTGACTTTTTTATTGCGATTGTTGGTTTGTGTTGCTTTTTGAAAATAATATATGTACTTATGTAATATATTCATAAGTACAGTACATCTATACTTGTTTTACAGGAAAAATTTTGCAGGGCAATTGTGTTTACACCCCCCCAAAAAATTAGTGAAGTGACGTCCCTGCCTGTGCCCTCCCTTGCAAACCAGCCTGCCCAAGTCATTGCTAAGACTATATACAATATTTCTTAACGAGGAGGCAATCCAACATAAATCGATTACCTTCTTTGGTCAGCATGCCTTCTCTCTCGGCATTAAAGAATGTTTTCGTCAAATCATTGCCATCATCCTCGGGGATTTTGAAGGGCTCGTCTCGAATACTTTCATAAAGTTCCTGAAGAATAAAAAGTTTCTCTTAGATAACGATGTTTTTAGAGATAAGGAAAAAGACTTGATCTGCATTTTACTAAAAATAGCATCTATTGCAGGATATATCAGTGAACACCGTGAAGGTATTTTCGATTGAGAAAAGTGATGGGGTTCAATGCTGTTGAATACTTTTCAAGGGTTTGTCCTAGGAATAAGAGAACAAATAAAAAAGTATAGAGTAGAAGGAAAGTGAGAAATACAGAAAGAAAGAACGAAAAAAGAAAGGAAAGGTGAGAAAAAATGAACTGAAAAAACATTTTGTGTATGATAGAAGGACTTAAAAGTACAATAGAACATAGATAACGCTTAACGTTATGGTGAGGACGTCAAGGATCGGTTCCGGTTTCTACACACTTGTGGTATTTGAGAGTCATTTAGTTTCATTGCTTTATACGTAAAGTACGTTTCATGCAGACTGAAAAATCAATCGCATGACGAAAACCATAGTAGACAAAAACAATTTGACGCAAATGATTTAGTAGTGTGGATAAGGAAACTTAAATATAAGTTTCTTGTCGTGTATCCACGCATAAAGATTACATTGTTTTGTAAAAGTAACTGTAAAATTTGATATAGAATTTAAGGCTAATTCTGATCTTCTTCCTGTTGAAGCTTGTGTATATTTTCAGAAATTATCCGCCATTCTTTACAAAATACATTTTGTCCATTAACACAACACTGTATCCTTTCTTGTACGGTCGGTTTTCCATTCCTGCTGTAAATGTAGATTAAATTTCTTCCTTGTTTAGTTCGTTTATCAGATCAAACACGAAGTTTCTACACTTTTCAATATTCAAATAGTAGAGACTGTTGATTGTTTCAGAGGAAGTACCTTAAAACTTTATAATCCTGAATCCTGCAAATGGCCTTCGTCGAATTACCATACTGTTATGGCTCTTAACAAACTTTGAGGGTAAAACATCGTATTAGAGGGCAAAAGACAAGATACATTCGTTGTAAAATACAATCAAAGGACTGTGTAGAAATGCAACATTGTGCAACATGGGAATTTGACTTACCAGGGCTTTTTCTAACTACGGGACAATGATTCCACGAGTTCAGTAAGTAAAGTTTTCTTGTTTTAATCAAAAGCTTATTGTATCTTTTTAGAGGAACGGAGACTAGGCCAAGCAGCTACAGTCATGTGACTTTCGAAGCGGAGTTTTTAGGGTTTCAGAATTTCTTTCCAATCTGAGAAGCAACAAAAATATTTTAAAAGAATCATAGAATACCTTGAGCATTTCTGGAGCTAGATCACCGCCGTCATTTATTCCTCTATTCATATTGATGAAACCATCCAAAGATTGCTGTGAAAAGATAAATTCAATTTGAATCTAAACTAAAAAGGGCATCTACTGGTATATTAATTAAATACATAATTGCTCCCTTGATCATTCGAAGATCCTGATACCTCGAGGGACATAACAACTAAATGTAATAATATCCACACAGAGAGTTGTCTGATGATCATATTAAGCGTGAAACTCGGAATCGCAACTTAGAACCGTCCTGTTCTATTTACCAAAGTGTAGTTAGAGTATTATATAACAGCACATTTTATTAGAACTGGCGAAAATGAACAAAAGAACATGGACCTGAAACTTAAACTCTTTGAACTAAAGAACAGAATGTTATCATAATATCAACATGAAATTAGAATAGTCATTGTTAACAATGAGGGCCACACCTAAACTTCGTTTTAAACAATAACTACGGTAGGTGCCTTTATTATTCAAAAAGTTTAGCGTTACATTACAGCTGAAGAGATTTTTTGCTACACTTTTTTGTTAAATTGAGTTTAAAAATCGTGAAGAGAAAACAGCTAGTATAAACAGGAATGTCACCAAAGGAGGGTATGGTGGACGCTGAAAGGTTTTTGCCAGGCAAAAGAAGAAATTTTTCTCTCACCCTGTAGCATAATTGTAACCTTTTTGCAACAATGGTAGCATATAAGCATATCTGTAGTAGTTGAGCTTTATATGGTAGTCAAAGTATGGTACAAAAGTATGAACTTTGAAATAGAATCGCATATAAGATTATTTACCTAATAACTACCCTTAAAGAACAAGAAACGCCTTTTACAGCAAAAATCATTTTGGTACCTCTCCCAAAAAACTTTTTGGCTTCGCCCTGGTGTATAAATCCATTAACAAAAAACCTTACGTCCTAGAAACAGTCATATCATCCAAGAGTTTCAAAAAATTCTTTAAACGAGCTTTTGGAGCTTAAAACAACTAAATTTTACTAGAAGCTTTAAGATATGTTTGATATACATCGAAAATGAGCAGGCATACAAACCTTATCTTTTACACTTGGATTATGCAAATTTGTATTCAGCATTATAATTGAGAAACTTAGGACATAGCATGTATCTACAAAGAAAGTAAGTATTTAAGATAAAGATAAATTCGCAAGGTTTCAGTAACAACGATGAACCGGGCTGTGATCTACAGAAACTGTAGCAATATTTTTTCAGCATAGTTGATAAACTGTGCTATATAATCAAAAATAAAAGAATATATATATAATTATATAAACAGTAAAGGTAGATTTCTAGGTCACAATTAGTGAAGGGCTCTCAGAAGCTTGTTTCAATTTTATCGCGAACAGTTATAATTTGAATCCAACCCCAAAAAATCTTAAAAATCATCACCATCATCACCATCATGACAGTCACTCATAAAATGCCATGATAGTGATTGACAGCCTGTCATGTGCTCGCGCTTCTGATTGGATTATTTCAATCCACCAACTGATCCATATATTTTCTATCTGCACACTGTTTTCGATCGTTATTCTAACTTTTGGAAGTTTCAGATGAAAAGCTTGAGTGTATCTAAAAATGTTTAGCTTTTTCTAAAAACATCAACAGATTCTTTGCAAATACTAATAGTCATTTTTATTTAACTCCTGATAACAAGTAAATGCTCAAAATTTCGTGGTTTTAAAAATCATAGCTTAATTTAGTTCATTTTGGTACTTAATTCGTTCGCTTATTCTTTCTTTGTCATTTTATGGTTCAAAAAGGTAATATTGTATGGATTGGAAAATACACACAGAAGGTAAAGTTCGGAAAGGAAAAGTTTTGTAACCTGGCATTTTGAAAGCAGTGTTGTTTTGTCTACAGTAATGCTCTGCAAACGCTTCCATCATCCTGTCTATTTTTTGGGCCTCTCCTGGCAAGCGGAATTTCCAAAGATAATCCCTGGAATAAAAAGGAAATTACACTTGTTACAGTGCTTCGAGGGATTAGCTTTACAGAAATAGGACATAGGGTAGTGGAATTGTGGGCAAGTAACCAATTAAATACAAGATTTGGCAAGACAAAAATATTAACGGGAAAGGGTTTAAATTAAACAATGCAGTATTCACGATGGAAAAGGATGCCCACTGAAAAAGATTTAGGGCTGGAAAGAGAATCTTTTGATCTTCCTGAAGATAAAAAAATCTGCCTGCATTCATCCTTTGAAAAATTTTCACTATAGCTTGATTAACCAAGTTTTTATTCAATGTTAGATTGTTTGAAATCAGAGTAAAACTGAAGATAGCAAAATATCTTTGAATATAAAATGTTTTTGGTTTCATATTTATTGCACTTAGGATCATAAAACCCTTTCTTATGAATCATATAAGGAGGGTTAGGAAAAGTTATCGAATTTGAGAGTATTTGAGTTCAGTGCTACAATCCTGAACTGGTTGCATTGAGGCTTTGCTCCCTTCCTGTTTAATGTTGATATCCCTGTCATAAAAGTATATAAAGTCCAACATTGAACGAGGGATGAGTAGATACTGCATTTTCTACATAGCATATGATTCAGTCAGGGTTTTTTAAAGAAAATTTAGAGTTGCACATGTTTTTTTGGAAGGCTATGTTGAAGGAAGAGTTGTTGGTTCCTATAAGGATAAACGAAAGGTACATGATGCGCAGGTACAGGTAGGTTGTGCCCCAGGCCAGTAGCGTAGTTAGGGTTGGAAAATTAGAGGGGCAAAGAGGATTCTGACAGCAGAGGGTCCGGGCTTTACCCCCGGGAAAATTTTTGCTGACCACACCCTTGAGAATTTGGTGAAACACCCCCATTGTGTAAATGCGTTTGGAAAAGCTATGACATATTATGTAGCAATGGTTGGCTAACCAACCACAATAACCGTCATATGTAGCTTTTTGTGGCTGACCCCCATTCTACAACTGTCTATTTCCTTCACAATTCCTCTAACGTTTATATTCTGAATTGCGTAAGGCGAGGAAGCGCTACGTGTAAAAACGTTGTAAAAGCGATTTTCAAAGTTGTCAGCAAATATAAAAAAAATAAGCAGTATGTATAAGTTTCAGGATTAAAGTATTTTAGCATTTTAATTTCTACCTTATCGGGAATATCAAAGAACATAAAGGACTTTTCTATACAAACCCTAAAATGAGGGGAAGTTGTAAACAAGACGAGGGTCCATTGCGAGCAAAAAATATTTGCGACCGCACCCTTTTGATTAGCTTAGTATTTGAGAATATTTCTTACAGCCGTTTGCTTGCAGTCTTTAAAACATTTCAATTTTGTCTGAAATATCAACTCCCCCCCCCTGAGGTACTAATTCTTTTGCAGATTTGCACTATTTTCAGCCCCCCTTGCCCCCCTTGCCCCCCTTGCCTCCTCGCTACGCTACTGCTCCAGACCCCTTATTGGAAACAGTTAGAACATTGTTAATATGCATGTTTAATCGCCATGCTCATCGGTAATATATTTTAAGCTTTTTTATAACACTTCATTTTAAAGAAAATCTTTCGAAAAAGATTTATAACGTAATATCAATTTTCAGAAAAAACAGGTAGATTCTAACTCAATTTGGAAGCAAATTCATAAAGAACATTATGAGAGAAAACCAAATTTTCGAGTATATGACAACCATTTGTTCATATAGAATCACAAAAAACCAAATTCAACTACATAGAATCTGAAAAAACAAAATTGTTTTTGGAGCGACATTTAGTAGCGATGTAAAATATAATGTTTTAAAAACTTTAAAATCGTCTTTTTTCGAGCTATGCCAGTTAGGCGGATGAAACTGATGACGACAAAGCAAGGTATAAATATAGCAATTGCACAGCAGCTTGAGAAGTAAATGTTAAATTGTCTCCAGTTTAGTTCTCGGTCTGTTTTGTCTGACCATACAACTGTAAAAATTAAATTCAAAACTAGTGACATGATTTATTTTTTTGCTCTGAATTTTTAACGTTCTCTGATTTGATAGTTTAGAAAGGCTCCTGCTTTCAATTTCATTCTTCGTATATGTGTGACACAAAAGCGTTATAGCGAGTATGAAGTTATGTACAAATTGTATTTTCTCTATATCGAATGTTTTTCAATACCTATAAATTCTATATCCCAATAGGACTTTGTTTAATTTTAGCGCCATCTTTAATATATTTTTTGTGTTTCACTTTTTAAACTTTTGTTTGTTTATTTCTGCAAAAGTTTTCCTGAATTCTCTTTTTATTTAATTAAAATTTTAGAGCTGCACAGATTTTTCTTTAGAACAGCACAGATTTTTCTTTAGACGGCACAAAAAAACTTTTAGAACTGCACATTTTGTGTAGAACTGCAAGTCAAAAAAAACCCTGTGGACTCCTGTTTGTTACCCTGTTTGTTATAAGTATTAGAGATTAAAAAAATGTATCTTTACCTCAAAGCAGCGACAAGGTGTTTGTCTTTGAAGTCATGTAGCCAAACATAATTTTTTAGGACTGAAATATTAAAATCATCCCTGGAAAATAAGGATCAAAATATCAAATAAGACAACAACAAAATTTATTAAAAGGCACTAATAGAGAGAGCTAAAATAAAATCCACACTATACATGTATTATTAAGTACTGAACAACTTGTGGCTAGAAGCCTTAAAGGCAGTGTGTCACCCTGTTCACTGGCAATTGTTTGTTAAATTTTGAGGGTCCTTGAAATTAGAGAAGCATGACAAATTAGTAGAACTGATCAATAGTAAGTTAGAGGCGTTCTTTGTTACGAAATGAAACCCAATGGAATATAAATTTTGTTCTTTGTTTCAATAAACTAATGAACGGCGTAATGTACTTCCTTTAAATTGCAGAAAAAACAGCTGGAAATTAATTCAAATGTCAAAAAGTCATCAAAAAGTATTGTTTTAATCTTATTTCAAGACAGCGCTAGACTGGGAAAATCAGTTATATCAAATGTATAAAGATGATATATCTGTCTTTTCTAAAACACACCCTTTACTTAGCATAAACAGAAAGTAAATATTTAGCAAAATGAATAATAGATCTATCAATACAAAAACTCATACTTTTCCCCAAGATATTCTCCTTTCTTTACTTTATTCAATCCCTCTTCCTTGTACAAGAACTGTGCAACATCTTCAACAGTCATATTAATAAGACAGTTTTTGTACAAGTATTCAAGGCCCTGTAAGAACAAAGTTTCAATAAAAAACAATTTAAAAAATAAGCACATGCTTATTGCATCTTTTTGCAACTCTAAATGGGAAGTACCTAAAAATTATTTTGCAGAGTTGAGGTAAACGGATGTCTGGCTTGAAACCAATGTGTAACTAGCTCGATTACTGAAAACCAACACAGCTATTCGTCTGTGAGCCAGCATCTTTTTAGGTTTTACGTAAATTTTAGCAAATTGATGAAAAAAATCATTTCAATAGTTAAATTGGCAAGACTAAAAAAGACTATAAATTTTTCCCAATAACTTACTTCAGTACCTATCTCCAACCATTGGGTGCAAAGAGCAGATCAAAAGCAAAATCAGATTGTTATGAGCAGTCACCAAAAGATCAGGTGTAAAAAGTAGCAGAAACAATTGGAATCCAATAGGTATCCTGTTTGCATTTTTGTGGGTATTATCCTCATAGCTTTATTAGCACTATTTTATTTAATTAAGGACTGCAAGCCCTGTCCAAAAATCCTTAATAAAGAGTCTGTTGTTGAATAAGCCCCCCACCAACATGAATAAATTCCCACCTCTTTACTCACTTTTAGCAATAAACCCCTTGAATAGCCCCCCCCCCTGAGAATCAATTTACTTGTACACTAAATGATGTTGATCTGGCTGCACCATCCAAAAAGTTAGCTGATTGATAAAAAAAATAACTATTATAAATTCGTATTTGCCCTAGTGTCCGAGCTAAAAGCTCAGTTAACATAAAAGGTATGTCTACTAGGCTTGTGTTATCCACCACATACATAATCACTTCATATAAACTGTGAGACACAAGATTTAGAAGTCATTCAATGTGAAAATGTAATATAGAACTTATTGTATCTGATAATCGTAATAATAATTATTAAATAATTATATTTGCACGAGATTGTGAGTTTGAAATAAGGCTTTAAGTATTCATTTTTACAAATAAGCTCCTGGGGCTCACAGCATTTATGCAATAGAGCAACTAACCTCCTGGAAAAATTAAAAGTGTTTATCAAAATTTATTCCGTTAATTGCTTTTAGGATAGAACATCAAACTGAAGAGCACCACTTGCAATTTAAAACTCCATCTGCAAACTGTTGAGCGGAACAATTCACACAGTTTACGCAAGGAACTTTGCCATAATCAACTGTGCAATCAGCAATTGGCAAAGGACATGGAAAGTATATTAAGCAAAAAAAAATTGAAAACAAAAATCACCTTTGCTGGATCAATGTTGAACTTCTTTCGACCAATATTTCGCAATTTACTTTCATTTTCAGTCTGCGTACTGTAACAAGGACAATAATAATACTTGCAAAGCCTGATCTACTGAAATCAGACTAGCTACTAAAGGAAGAAAATTTTTGCGGTGTTTCCAGTAATTGTTTCTAAAAACAGGACAAAAACTCAATAACAACTGCATACCAATTATGAAGAATACTTCTATTTGGAGATAAAATGACATTATTTCCATAAAGGGCAGATAAACTTGGATAAATTAAAGATTTTCTTAACTTTTGATTCTCTAACAATGACAAAACAGCATTTTAAGAATGGCTCCTATCCTGAAACAAAGAACTTTTTGAGAGATAACTGTAATTAATGCTTCCATTCTACTGACATTGAACTATCCTAATCAAGTAAATGTGTTTACTAACTTCTCATCCATTTGATCCATGTAGTCAAGTTCCTTTTTTATTTCTGAAATTTCATCCTTCAATTGCTAAAATAGAGCAGAAAAACTTAAATTTTGAAGCTTCCATACACACTACCAAAGCCTACTACGCCACCAGCCACACAAACAGGAAATTAGGACTTACCACAGGAACCAATGATATAAAGAAGTCTGACAAACCACATTGAACCCAGCAAAATTTTATCAATAATAGCATTGATTAATAAAGGGATGATGTTATGAACCAATAAACTTTTCTATCACCCCTTGATGACATTGAAAAATGAATATAGCTTTATATAAAATCAACACTTGAAAAAGTGCTAATATTGATTTTTGATTTTGCAATAAGTTAAGCAATGTTGCAAATACATTTAAGAAAACAAATAAAAGAACTCAAAGCCAAAAGACAAAGTAACCTCCATTGTTTCTCCTTCCATAAGCTTAAGAAATTCTAGACATATAAAAAAACTTTAAAATTTTGTAGATCTACAGTTAATTTGATTTCTAAATGATAGTAAACCGGTTTATCTGCCTCATACAGTTAGAATGATCACCAAAAAGCATGAAACAAATAAGGAGAAGGATCTACCAAACAGCAAATAATTTAGAGCAGATGGACAATAGCAGACACCAAAACAATAGGAAGTTGATATGAAGAGCAATACATTTAGTAAACATAAACCTGGCAGGTTTTGTTAGGCAGATTTTCATCATACCTGTATTTCAACAGCTAGTTCTTGCTTCCTCCTTCGAATTTCTTGAAGTAACAGCCTTTCTTTAGGAGTTAATTCTGAAATTTGATACAAAAAACATAAGTAATAACATTACCAGCCAAAATTGCTGTTACTTACAAACTTACTAACAGGAAACAATGTCAAATATTGGTCAACCAGGAATAGTCTCTGCACTTTCACACAAGCAATATCATTTGACAAGACACCTGTGAATTACACCTACTGCTATGCTTTGTTGAAAACATCACACATAATGCAAATTTCACATGGAGCATGTGGCTTGTTGAAAAGAAAATAGACCAAAAACAGCCTTAAGTACTTCCACATACTTATAAATAATCATACTGAAACACAAACTTATTGTCATGACTTAATTCCATCAGATTCATAATTCATTATTTCATTAAATGTCATTCTTTTATCTAAAATAAAATCAAGCCTTTTAGAAGGTCAAGATTTAGGACTCCACATGAGGTTAATTTGCTCCTTTTCATGAAACAGCCAAACACAAAGCAAAATATTAACTTTAATCTTTTGCTGTTTGTTGGTCACCACTTAAAATGCCTCTAAATCTTTTTGAATTTTCTCCCAGTTCTATATTGCATAATATAACTGGTCGAGATGACAAAGAATAAGGGAAAGGAAATTTTCAATTCACACCCTACTTGATTTTTTGTCAATTCAACCTGTCTAGTTTCAAGTCTGGTTCTTTGGAAATGCCTACATTTAGTAAGCACCAGTTATAGACACCTTTCTATTCTGTGACTTGTCCTTGGCCAAGTTAGGAAGGAAAGGCTTTTGATAGGATTTTGATTAGGATTTGCAGTTGGCATAGACTTGGCTTTGGTAGAATAAGTGTTTTTGGTTTTTGATACGGTTTAACAGAACCAAATTGCAAAATTAGGCAGCAATTCCCCATGTTTAGAAAAGAATCAGAGCAGAAATTTTTGAGGAAGAATTTAATGCACAGAAAAATTAACTAAAACAAAAATTTTATACGATTAAAAACTATTCAGATTTATTTCGGAAACACACTTTAATACTTGGTACTACAATTCATTAAAAATATAAAATTTTATGGGGAGCCTTTGATGATCAACATACTCTTTCTGAGACCCAGATACCTGGCTAAGATACCAGATATCTAACAGAAATTTATATATTTTAATCTAAGATTGATGGTCAGGTAAGCTTTATAACTTACATTTCATAAATTTCAAAGATATCTTCAATTTCAAACCAAGAAACAACTCGTAATTCATTTCCTACTTTTTTGATAGCATGCAGAACAAAATTCGTGTTGCCAAATCGTTACTCGCTAAATATAATTTTCGATTGTCTTTTTTTAAATATCCTACATACACAAGTAGCTTTATTCGACATTAAGGATTTGAATCACTTCCTTCATGTAACCAAAGTTTTTTTCACTTCCTGTTTGTTACAATAAAATCAGTAGCCAGATGGTGGGTTTTCTGTTAGAAATAGTATTTCCAATTCTTTACTAACTATTAATTCGCAAAAAATAAAGAAGATTTTTAAATAGATCACCTGTTCTAAAAGCACCGTTGTTCGTGAACTCCATTACTACAGCTGTTTATTCAAAACCAAAAACAAAACCAACACGGCCTAAAATGTACCGGCGATCTTGGTATTGCTGCTAAACAGCTTTAGTTCCGACACTTCCGTTAATTATCTTGGCAAATTGTGTCACAGGAACTCGGATCGATCTCTGTTTCTATTCTACTGTCCAAGGAAGCGCCTTTCAGCTGACTTGAGAATGTTTCCGACAGCACAACTACTCCTTGACACAAAATGGCGACCTTTGGTTGCTATCATCATGAACTGTGACGTCATGCCCTGTTGTTGAGATGCCTCTGTACCTCTATGGGGAAATAAAGATTTACCTCGTGAAATAAGTGAGCTTGGGGGTCCTCTGTTTGATATTTCTTAGCAAGTGAAATCTGTTTCTGTTAACGATTAATCTGTTTCTGCTATAATGGGTAGAGCTGCCCATAAGCTTCGCTTTTTGGGAGTTCTCGCATAGAATAGATTGTTACAATTACTGTATTCTTTGCATTACACGAAATGAGTGACGAAAAAATAATGGATTACAGGCCTGCCACAGCCGTTAAACCGAATGTTTTTCAAGCCGAAAATTTGTGCACTCAATGTAGAAACTGCATATTAATGTTCTGGTATGGGCTTTTCTCAATAGTGGTGAAAATATCAACGAATATATGAAAAGAGATCTTTATATGCAACGATTGTCAATTCTTCATCAGTTAAAAATAAAAATCAAAGAATAGCGTGTTTGAATGGTCCTATGTTTTTGCCCTATCGCACTCGCTAATCACCTAGTTGAAAAATTCAAGAGAGAAAAGCCACGGGGCGCAGCGGCGCGGCACGGGGGGCAGCACGGAGGTCAGTGAGGGGGCAGCACGGGGGCAGGGGGCAGCGGGGGCAGCACGGGGGCAGCAAAGTGCCCTTTTCACGAAATTGATTTTCCAAGCAATATCAGTTTATGTCAATTATTTTGAATGCTAATGAAATCTAAGTTTCAAGTATCTCTTGATACCTACATGCAAGAGAAAAACCAATATTTTCCATTTTGATGAAAACTGAAAATCGATTTGCCAAGCAATTTGATCGCAAAACACTTCTTGTTAATAAGTTTTCTTTAACCTTCATGATCATGCTGAAGATGTTTCAGATTGCTACCAATGTTGGTTCGCAAATGTTCGATATATCAATCAAGAAAAAGCGCAGGGACCGGAGGGCACAGATTTTTCCAAAATTCAGGTTACCTGCCCCTTTGCAGCTCACCGAGTTGCTGTTATTGCCAACTGCATAATCAAAAAGTGCCCTTGAATTGCTTAAGTGTTATACAAAATGAGCAAAGAGGTGACCTTTTTGGGCCAGCCAAGATCTTAAGTGTTTATTTTCATTCTGCTTCTAGAAACACCAAAAAACAAGCTCGCAATAGGGTTACCGAAAGGTGGTGGCGATTGAGAATTGGCCTTGGGCCTTGAGGTCTAGGGGCCCCTTGAGGTTTCCAGTTTGTGAAAGCAATAAGTAGGACATAACGAAATTGTGCAACTTTTTAAACGATTGCAAGAAAATATCTGCAAAAAATATTCTCGAATGGATTGTTAGCTAATTAAAGGGCAAGGTCGCCAGAATTGTTCTGCTTACTTTGCTCGCAAAGGGCTTTCTCTTTTAGCTATGCCACGGGCCTCCGAAAACCTCTCGGCGGCACTGTTCACAATTAAGTCAAAAAATTATATCTATATCATTGTAACAAGGCTTTATGTGACAGCCATTTTAACCTTTTCTCGAATCTTTATTGAGATGCCTCTTAAACATGCTTTTAAACCTTATAGAATGTTTGCAAGGGTGCCCCTTCAAACAGATGTCCCCCATTTTCATAATCCTTCACTCAAGACGTTTTTTGAATCAAGACGCTTTCATGCAACACGGTATTTTTATTCGACGCTCTTAACATACAGACTGGTTGGAAATTTGTTCCAGTGGGCCAATTTGCTTGTCCTAGTGGGCCCTTCTGAATCCCCACTAGTAGAAGTCCTAAAGAAATATCCTGAAGACTCGGCTTGAATTTGGCAAGCAGTGCTAGAATGCACGTGTATTTTTATGAGCCAATACTAAAAGCTTCTTAAAGATTTTAAGTGATTTGAGTTTCTGAATCTGAAATTTGAATCTGCAATCTGAAATTTCAAAAGCAAGATTTTGAAGCCTTTTTGAAGCCGAATTGTCTCTCTTCAGAAGAAGCAATAATAGAATGATATGATCCTTTTTGTTCTCAAGATCTTTGTCATACAAATGTAGCCAAATATGGATCTCAGTTCCAAACGAAATAAGTACTCCCTAACTTTACAAAAATCAAAGAAAGAATCTCAGAATTCTCATCGTTCAATGGTACTTGTGATTTTTGTAAGGAATTTGTATCCAACGTCAGTTGATTTTGATTTAAATCATACTTAGCATTGGTAGTTTGAATTAGTTGGATTTATTTAGCTTTAAAGGAGAACTGACACGCAAAAATAACTTTGGCTTATTCGATGCAAAATTGTTCGCTGACTTCAAATCTGGAAAAAGTTTTCTTCTAAGATTCGCCGTTTTTCTGATATTTGCACTTTTATCCGTCGAATACGTCACAGCCAGGACTCGGGAATTTCCCGAAGCGGAAACAAGATTATCGCCAGTAGTTGTTAAAATTCTCGGTTGACGTCACAAGTGACATGTTAACAATGCCGTTGTAAAGGCTTTCACCGCAACGGTGAAAGTACAAATGAAGTTTCGTGTTTTATTGGAAATAGTCCGCGGTGAAAAGACAAAAAGTTGTCAGGCATTTCATTTATAAGTATATCGAAGCTAGAAAATCCTAGCTACATGTCTGCTAAGACGCTTATATCCACATAAAATTTATTTTTATGCCATGATATCTTCGAACCAGCATGCTTTGAAACATTGAAAGAACCTCTAAGCTTATGAAAAAAGGAGTCGACTTTGTTTCAAAACTGATACCGTTTCTTCAAAGTTTTTTATTTTTACAATTACAAATAGAATCGCAACATGGGGTTGGGGGGGGGTTTGGTTTGAAGCAATAGCCAAAAGAGAAACGAAATCTAGTGGAGACAGCGGTAAAAGTGATCCTGCAACCTGCTTTGGGTGCAGAAATATGAATCCAAGAAAAAGCCTTGGTTGCTGGGAGCTGCGAGTGTGACTAAATAATAATTTCACGGAGCTTGATTATTGTATTTTAACAGAGGTTGAGATACTAGGGAATAACCTAGTCTTCAAAAAGACCAACCCCCACCCAAGTCAAAATTGATTGCAAAAGAAGATAATGCGCCAGTTGATATTCCTATGACAGCTAAACAGCATTTTCTTCGACTAAGAAATCAAGTTCTTTGACTAAGAGCTAAGAGCCTATTTCGTAAATCCAGATTTTTCGACTGCCAGGTAACTTATCAGTTCCCGAAACCCTTCACGCCCGGTGAAAATGGCATATAATCCGCACAAGTCGACTTTTAACCCGCCTTTACTATTTGATATCACTATACAATTAACGCGTTTGAAACATTGAAAAACAATCATGGAATGTTACATTAACAATGAATAACTTGCAGTTCCGTTTAGTGCATCATAGGCATTTCAGCGAACTAGACAAAGACGCCTCAATCTGAAATGAAATTCTAGTTTTTGGATACCTGATCTCAGTTAGATTGTAGCAATAGCATTGTTTTTAATAGAAATTCCATATCAGTTTGTACTTCCAGTCTGTTCTTTGTTCATAACATCGTCACTGTTGAGCCATGGGACGACCGTCTGCCCAAGCGGCAACGCTGGTTGGTAGCAAAAACTTAGACGGCTGAAACTCTCCATTTGTTTCGAAATCAATGTAATAAAACTCCGATTCAGAGTCCCAAACCATTGAAAAAGTCAATTATGTGTCAAAAATGCAAAATTAGCACCTTTCACATGCACAAAATAAACATTTGTCCGCAGCATTTTGTTGAAGGTTTCTATAGAGAAACACAATACGTGCTGAGAACATGTCACTTGTGACGTCAAAGATGATCGCCCACTCGTGACGATTTTCGCCTCGAGTCTCAAGTTGTCGGACTATTTGTCGTTTCTCAACTTAAAACGCCTGTATTTCAAAAACGGTAACTGTGATTTAAAAAATTTTTTCGTTCCCGGAATTTGCTTGTCACAAACTACCGTTTTAGCCAAGCATTTTTTTGTGTGTCAGTTCTCCTTTAATATAGCTACAGAGTGTACCAACTAAGAAAACCAGATTAGTTATATTCAAAAGTTATATCAAGACATGTAGATAGTCATCAGTACAAGCCTCCCTTGATGGTTTATGTTAGGGTGAAAGAAATTTGAGAATAAAATTTGACAGTAGTCCTGATTCAAATGTATTATTATGCAGGAGCGGATCCAGACTATAGCAACTGTAGCTCGAGCTATAGTCAAAATCTCAGTGTTTGATTTTCGGAATTCACATTTGAAAGCAGCGGTATAGGTTATCAAATGCGATTAACAAATATGCACTGCTGGCAATGTGTCATCACAATGCCTCTCCAGATAAGATATAAAACACTGAGCGCAGAATGGTCTAATATTAAAACTTAGACGAATCAGAAGTTTCGTTCTTTGTTGACAGTAACCAACCAGAATTGAGCTACAGTGGATATTCCGAGCTATAGTCGGTCTGGGGATTTGCTCTGGAAAAGGCATCGAAGACAATGAAACCCGTACTATAATTTTTGGCGCGAGCTATAGTCAGGTTTGAAAATGGCCTTTTAACCAATAGAATATGAGTATCCACTGTCTGTCCCCTGCTCTCTGTCCCCTGTAAAGCAACAATAGACTATTGCTCGTTTTCACATCCTGGGTCCCCTGTAATGTAGCTTCAAAGGCAAGGACCTACTAGGGAATAGACAGGGACGGCGGAACGACCAAGCGGCAAGGGGGGGGGCAGGCTTGAGTAAAAAGGCTTTTGAAAGATAATTCTCAGCTTCTACAAATTCATACGTAACTGCAATTTTATTATCTGTAGGTATCTTCAACATTGGCTAACTTTCGGCACAAGGAATTATTTTACATGTTTTGAGAAGTTCAGAATTTCATACGAATCTCTCTGATTATTACAATTGGCCAGTTTCAAGGGAACTTTATTAAAAACAACCCTTGCCCCTTCTGCCAAAGGGCAACAGGGGCGGTTGTACCCCCAAACCCCCTTCTCTGGCGTCCCTGGAAATAGAAAAAAGATGCTCGAAGGAATATTTATGAATACGAAGCAACTATAAACACACATGGTTTATCATTTGCCCATATAGTG